GCAGCACGCTGTGTAAGGGTGGCCTCCGTTTAATACCATAGTACCAGTTTTTCAAGGTAGATCGAAAAGGAAAGGACTATTTTGGTTTTGATTTGCATACAAAAGTTCTCAATTGATTTTCTATTTTTCTGCCAACTGTCCTTTCCCCTGAATTTAGCTCACTACAAATACTTTGCACTGACTCGCTCTTTGAATCTGTATTGAATTTTTCCTGTCTTGTGTATTGTTTTTTACTCAAATTCAAGAACATTATTGATGAATCACTCTAGTGTATGAAAACATATTTTTGGACGATAAATAACTCTGCAGCAGGTGTTTGAAATTACCCAAGATGGCCGCTAGCCTCCAAGGACTCTTAACAGATAAATTTCCTAGTGAAAAAATCAAAAATCACCATAACTTAAGAACACAATCATTTGTAAAGTCTATAAAGATCTGGAGAGAACACAACAATAAACGAACTGAGGTTATTTTTATGTTATACTAGAAATAAACATTTCTGCTGTGGGAAAACCTTTCAGGCTGGGGGCACACTGATCAAGCATTTCACCTGAAGCAAAATGTTGCACAACGATTTGCTTTGAAGCGTTTTGTTTCTTTGCTTCTCTAGTGTGCGGGAAGTTCAAGCATGATTCAGCATTTGGTTTCAAGCAAAAATAAGAAAAATAAATAATAATTTTTACTGGTATTCACCTATAGTATTGTTTTAACATTTGTAACGATGAAGTCAAGCTATTGCTGTATATCAGTTTTTGCAAAATGCTGGACTAAATAGAAAGAAAACTGTCTATCATCAGATTGATTGGGTGAACGCAATGTTCACCCAATCAATCTGATGATAGACAGCTTTCCTCTCGGAAATTAAATCAGATCCAGGGAAATTTTACAATTATTGTTGAATAATTGCTATACTATTTTATTGGAAGGATTTTAAATACTGTAAGAAATTATTATTAGATAAGGTTGCGATGGTTATACAAATAATGATCAAGATTACCACGTTACCTACCAGCCGTCACCCTCCTCTGTGTGAGAGTTCTTGTGAGACCTGGTGGTGAATGTGTTAATAAAATGAGTAACCTTGGTAATTTCTTAATTATTTACTACTTTGCATGGGCTGTATGACTACCAAAGTGGTAGCAAGAAAAATTTAACAACAATATTGTACAATGGAAATTGCTCGACGGAAATAAAACTTAAAATTTAAAATATAATTGTTAAGTTTTCACGAAACTTCAAAATTAATTTTTCAAAGAAGAGTTATTTTTTAAACAACAAATGGTCAATTGAATTTTGAAAACCACTAAGCTTTACTAGCTATAAGGGATTTGGCACATGCGCAGAACGTCTTGCTCTATGGGATCCATTCGTCGAGCAACTGCTCAAATGTTTCAAGACGTTGCGAGGCGCCCCGCAACGTTTGCTTGATCAGCGTGCAGCGTCCCATTGAAATACATGGGGCGCTCGTACCTAGCGAAACATTTTGCCTCGCAACACTTGCTTCAGGTGAAATGCTGGATCAGTCTGCGGCCAGCCTCACACACAAATAACTCTTACCCATCAATCTCTATTACTACAACGATGCTATTTCCTGAGAAGTTGTCTAAAACATCCAAGATTGGATTAGAGGGAGGCGGATACTGTAGTCTAGGTGATTTATACATGTTGATGCACCTAATAGCATGTAGAATTAAAGTAGTAAGTTACTCAAGAACTTGGGTAAAACTTTAAAAAGAATACCTCCACATTTCAGATACAGCAGTAGGGACATCCATGAGCGTATCCCTACAAGGGCCTTAGAAATGTCTAAATCTTTTTGATGGTTTGAAACTGAACCCAGCTGTCCTTGATCATTAGGCTTTTAATAATGATCCTGTCAAAGAACCAGCTGATCTTAGTCAGTAACAAAGCTATCAACTTATTCATTTGTTTACCCACCTTCGCCTTACAATACACGTACCCGGTATGCCAGTGTCGTAAGAATCTAATATGTCTGCTCACTTTATTAAGTTTCGTAGTTGAATCAATGTATGCAGCCCAGAATGGTCGCTGAACATGGACAGTCTGTGGCAGCCTCTGGCTTACACTGATATCTGTGGATGAACAAGCTTCTGTCCAACATTAGCAATTGTTTTTTTTCATGTCCCACCTTCACTTCCAAGGACGCTAGGGTCTAACTCAGAACTGTTTTACACATTATTTCAGGCTAGAGGGCGCCGCCATTGTCAAATAAATCCATTGGTAACTGACGAGATTTGAACCCAGGACAATGATCGGCAATAATAGGAGGACGATGATGAATGAAAAGTGGGCCTGAAGCTTTGCCCACTAGAGTTGACGGTGTTGAGACTTTAAGAAAGTACAGTGAGTTTTACTTGATTATATAAAGCTACAGAAATCTAATTATATTCTTTTGCAGAGTATTAGTTAAACTATGTATCCTCACAGTTACCGTAAACATTTGGGCACTTGTTAGACCTAAAACTAATGTTTCAATTCCCATTGAAAAATGACCAACTGTACACACCACCAGTTTGGCGCATCTTTTTTGTATATACTTATAGAAGTTGGAGTAATTAACCTTGTGTTTGCTTTGCTTGTCCACATGTGCCTCGGGCCTATGTGTGGAATGTATGAAGCAAAGCTAGCGATAAGCCTATATAGTTCAAGAATGGGCTGTAGCGTACTTAAAATATTTGTGGTAGCACCATGATATAAACCAACGTCATCACTAGGATCCATAGTCTGTCGCATTGAGATCTGTGGACTGAGCATACATCACACAATTTACAGTCTATTGTCATTTACAAATAATCTTGACTGTACAAAGAGCTATGAAACATGAAAACCAAACAAGGGGTAGGTCTAGTAACAGAGTTCTTTATCGGTTCTCACAGTGGTGTGAGGACATGCACTTTTATAGGTGAAAATAACAAGATAAGTCAGTGTTCTGAGCCTTTTTACTTTCTCTTTTGAGTTTTTAGGTGGTTACATCCCTTTTGGGTCCCCTTGAACCCATAAAAGTGGTTTTCAAAGTGATATCTGTGTGTGTGTGAAGTAAGGATGTGGATTTAGAAAGAGCTACACGTCTCAGGCGTGGAAGGACACACTACACAGGTTGGTCCAACGTTATTTTTAACGATTTGTATTGATGGATCACAAATAAAAACACAAAGAGTGATCCTAAGAATTTGAAACTTCATAATCCTATGCAATTTACAGACAAAATAATATTTTTAGTTTGAATAGACTGAATTGTATCTGGGTTTGTTAAATTTGTGTTGAGTATTTTTATGAAGCAAAAGCTCCAGTTAATTTTTACCATAGTATTATTTAGTAAACCTTGTTAATAATTGAGAGGTAAATATATTACTATTTTACTCTTTAAAGTATATCAATTTGGGTGTTTCAAAAATTTGAATAAAATCATTTCAAAGGAAAAAATGTATTTATTACATTAGTCTAGTACAATACAAACCACGTTATGATAGATGAATACATTTTCACAAAACATGGTCTTAAAGGGCACAGGGTTGAAAAGTTTCTATCTGTACAATTTCATACAACTGCCCTCGGTAGTATTCTATTTAAAAAAAAATAAAAATTGGAATTGCAATTGTGAAAAATTAGAATTTTCCTCTTTACAATCTATTATTCATTTAGGTATTGAACTATTTTCAGATGAAACAAGATGTAATTTAATTTACTTATTGTCACGATGAGTTAATATACAGTAATTCTATTTTATGACTAAGCGCCTGTTTGATTTGAAATGGAACAAATAGTGCATTCCATAATTATTTGATTTAGATTATGTTTCGAGGGTTCAAATGTTGAACAGAAAATGAACAATTTTTATCTAATGTAATCAGTTGATTCAAACCATGAGGACATCACACTGATAACTTTGTGACTGATTAAAATTGAGTCATACTTTTGGTGATAATAATTTAGAGTTTGGTTATGAGCAAGTTCAATTTAAACTTTTCAAGCCAAGCACCATGATGGCTTGATTGTTACATTTCACAAAAAAGATCGTATTTTAGATTTTAATTATTTTTTTTTAGTTGGAGGTTCAGTTGGTATCATGACGAATTACAAATCCAAGACAGCTATGTCATGGGTTTGCATTTTGGTGCCGCCACAGAAAAGTAAGGTTTAGGGGAAACATTCAATGGTACATTTTAAGTGGTGTCTAGGACAAAGTCCAACACAACCCCCCCTTGCCCTCATGTATTACAATGTTTACAGTGGAGGGAGACCCTATGCCCTGTAAGATAGGAATTTTTCATCACTAGTATACTTCTGGGACAACATACCAGAGCTGAATGCACACGATCGCCCCACAACCAAGTCTCCTCTGTACCTTACTTCTACGTGGTGCTTTACTAAATGTGAGTCAGTATAGTTCATTCTTTTAATTTACAGGCTCACCCCACACTTGCTGGATGCATTGCATATACAAACCCCGAGGCCCACATGGACAGGCAATTGCAAGATTAAAAGAGGCTGCCAAGCTTAAAAAGATTAATATGGTACTTTGGAACGAAGAAAGTAAATCATATTTAAATTAACTTCCTCTGCTAGGAAGGATTTACCTGTTAAGCATCTTTTATATAGCTTTATTATTACATGGCCACAATTTAAATTGCAAATCTGAAAAAAATGTGTGAGCTGTGGAGTTACTGCTGATAATTTAATTGCACACACCGTGCTTGCTACGTACTTAAACTTGGCATCTCACATAACTTTCTGTGCATTTATTTTTGCAACCCTGGCAGCGCCCAGCTATTGAGCAACTTCAGCAAATGTGTTAAACAGAGTATATTGACTCTTTTATTTCATATACTCTCAAATGCGAGAGTAAAATTAGTTCGATAGCACTTGTGAGGAATCGACTTGGTGTAAAGCTCGGTGAATGCCAAAACTCCCACTCTTCACAAATACGTTTATCAGAAAACATATAATTGGATTGCAATAGGCTAGCAATAAACCAACGCTTTCCTTTCAGTACAAAAATGTTTTATTACAACACAAGGCACTATAAAGTACAAAATGCAATCAATGTTACTCCAATATTTCTCTAGTTTAAACAAACAAAATTTGGGAACTGTGAAAGCTAACATATTTTCAAATACTGCTCTTAAAAAATAAAGCTATTTAATTTGTTCATAATTTCAACTAAAATTAAAAAAGTTATGGTTAAATGTTGAAGGAATGTATCACACATACTGAGAAAACCAGTCTCTATCACTTTGAATTCAGCACCATGAATATATTACATAAAGCCTATTAATTCACATACATGTTCTAAAAGAATCACAAAATAATTATGAAGAGAGCTAACGTAAGGAGATTTGTAATAACGGATAAAATTCAATTTGACTTCAAATTGTGTATCTACTCTGAAGATATGCCTATATCAAGATAAAGTTTGGAAATGAAAGAAAAAATGCAACAGTATACGGAGGATTATACAATTTACTGTCATAGCCCAAAGCAATAACTGTCCAGGGCATTTTAAGTGAATATGACACAGTTATCTAACATTCAAAATAAACTTTAAAAGGAGGAAGAACAACTCCAAGCTTTAGCTCTTTTCTTTCACAGTTAAAACTTATTGCATAAAGTAAAATTGCTGATACAATACAGCCAAACACATTTATAAACAAAAGCAAGCTAACTCTGGGGTTAAATGGGAATATCACAGAATCAGCTTTATATCTTATTTTATTAGTTACAATAACAGAATAATATTGCGGGTAACTACAAATTTAGATTAGTCAGAATGAGACTTCTAGCACCACTGCCAAGCTAGATAGCACTCCAAAAATACAAAATAACCTAACCTAATTTAAATCGACATTGCCACACTGGTATCTCTATCCATGACAGTCATGTAGACTTCACCATGCAAAAGTTGAAAATATGAAGCTTATCGACAAAGTTAAAAAATCCTCACTTTTATCACCAATTGGTTTAAAATTTTGAAACAATACTACAAAAATCATTCCAGAAGGTTGGTTTATTCAATATTTCACATCAGTAGGCCTACATCGTTAAGCTATGTGGAATACACATGTACGCAACTGCTATAAAAGTGAGAAAATGAGTACCTAAGTATTAAGCCTGTGTGGTCTTTTATATTGTTATCAAAATAAGTATGTCAATACAACAAATTTGGAACAACTGTATGGGTGCTAGGTGTGTGATGGTTGTAAAAGAATTATTTCTAGCATGAATTTTACAAGTTTAAGTCTAATAGTACATCAAAGTCCCACTAGGGACCGAACCCTGTTCAGTTACTAAATTGTTCGGATCAGCCATAAATGCAATAAAACTGTATATATGCAGTATTACCAGCCATACAGTATATTGTTTTTGGTACATTATGCTATTGGTTGGCTGCACTGCACACCCTGGTTAATATTACAGAGCAACCATTTCTCATCAACAGGTTGTTTAGAGAAATTAGATCCTGGTGTAGGCTACACTAACAATTACACCTGTGCATGGAAAGACTTAAAGAGAGGATAGGTTTGTTGACTTACAAAAATACATCCTATAAAATATGTAAAAATAAATATTTATGTGCCAACTTTTTCAAGCTAGCATAGTACGCCATGGAAAGTAGGAGTGACAGTGGAGCGAAATAAATATACATTTAAATAAACTAATGCAGTCTCATTATGCTCGATGGGACTAGAAGTCTTTTACAATTCATGAATGTTTTTACATACCAAGTCTGTGGTAGTAAGGTCGGTTCCGGATGTAAGAGGGTGAAGACAGCAAAGAGGGGTAGCTGGTCTGTAGCTCGTGAAGTAAGTGGCGCACAGTGATGAACAAGCCGAGCCCCCACTTGGCCGTCATGAATGCCCACACTGACGCTATGGGATAACTGTCAGAGATCGGCAAGACAGCTACAATACAAATTATCAACATAAGTAAATGATATTCCAATAAAATACCACCATAAGTAAATCATGTTCCATTAAATCAATCAGGTAAACTTAATACTCATCCAAACTGTTAAGTTGCACGGTGTGTTCATTTTAAGGAATTTCCCTAAAGGAAGTAGCTAAATTACTGTAGGTGGCACGGTAAGACATGGGCCCGGGACTGACTTACTTTTTGTCCTTAGAGGCTAAAAACACTATCAGTTCAAATTTGTATATATGTATAGGGCATATATATATATATATATATCTATATACATATATGTGTGTCCGTGAAAGCGATGAAATTGAATGAATTCGCGGACCAGCATGATCACACCATGGTAAAGGGGTTTTATGGGGTGAAAATGGGGTTTTCTCATTTTAGACCCTGAAAACATAAGATTTCGCAATTTCTCTCTAAACAATGCAGAAGGTCTAATTAAGTGCATTGAAGTTTTATAGTAAATTTGTTCAAACAGATCAAATTCCCATGTTATTCTTATGGATAAAAAGAAAACTGATGTAAGTTTGATTGTGTATGGAAATAAGTTAATCAAATTTGATAAATTTAATATTTTATTTTATACTATTAACATGGTGAAAGAAACACTTTTCACCTACCCCTTTGCAGCAAATCTAGGTACTCGTTAAATCTAATGCTATTTAATTGGGGAATAAACATGTCTTGTTTATGGAAATATTTTAGTTTAAATCCAATCAAATAGAAATTTGCTTAATCTGCAGGTTTGCTGCAGCAGGGGGCATTAAATTATTTTTATTGTATGAAATAAAATATGTACATAAGCTATGTTGAAACCCTTGGTAGTAGATTTATAGGAATAAAACCCGTTCTCCTACCTAGTACGCACAACTACAACTATGAGCAAGAGCATCGATCACTGTGATATCATAATCATCTCCGTGATTGTCGAAGCATTGGTGAACAATATCTGTTGCAATCACGGTGACATGACAACATCTGAGATTATCCCTGGCAAACTAACAAACCTTTCCGAGTTCATAATTTCCTTCCTCAACGCTGCAGCGTCAACAGAACGCTGTTGACAAATGGGCACTCCGCGATAGGCTATGGGCACTAATTAGTTAAATTAAATATTCTATTTACATAATATTTATAAAATTCAGACTTTAAAAAAGGCAAATATTATAGAAGTTTTTAGTTATCAGTCGATGAGCCACCTTGGCTGACAAAATTGTTATTTATTTACAATTAAAGACTACAATACTTTTTAAACAACATAATCTGCTTTTATTTTACTCACAAAATTCTTCATTAATTTTGGATTTGGCTATAAAATGGCTAACATTTTATAACCATCCTTTGAAAATAACCTGATCAAATTAAACACCTTAGATCACATATATCAAATAGATCACAAAATAAGACGGCTATTTCAATGTAACTGATGTATTTTGTACAGCATGAATATGTTAAATAAACAAAAGTCAACATATTGATAGTTTTTAATTAGGTTAATTAGGGATGGTAGCAGTATACTGAAGCTACGTTTCCATTTCTACAAATTTGTGCCGGGCACAAATCTCCGAATTTGTAGGAATGGAAACAGCCTGGCACAAGTCGTGGCACAAATTTGTACCCAATTGGAATGGAAACGGTCGGGCACATGTGCCTGCAACTCGCAGCTCTTTACTTCTCTGACTACTATTCTAGAAAGTCTCCACCCGTTTGTGACTATGAGTTTCTTTATAGTAGTCAATAACAACGTTAATAAAAATCTATGTTACCGCCAAGAATGAATCGCTTTCAGTTGTGCTTGGCAAAAACTTTGGGAGTTATTCAACATAAATCAGTAATAATTATCATCGGTCGATAGCTCAGTTTATCTCAGTTCATTTATATCCCAAAACTGGCTAGAGCCCAATTATGCTTATTTATACGGAGGACCAGTTCCATCAATAATAACTGGCTCTATCTCCTATCTTTCATTGGTATGACATTTAGCATCTACTTGAATTTGACATCTAGCTAGGAAACCCTTTTTTTTTATTGGTCAATATATAACATGTGGCCAGTGAAAATAGGATTCATCACTAATAGTAACGCTTAAAATGTAAGTTACCAGGATGTAAATAAAATTATACCTTTTCCGTTAATTCACTACCACTAGGTTTTTCCCGGTTGAAATGTTAAGGTTATTTACAAAACCTGTTAAGGGTTAGGTTTATTTTAGGTTGGGTTAGGTTAGTTTGTAACTGAGGCGTAACCTTAGATCGTGTAATGTTATAGGCTACGGTACTTATATAGCCTAGTGGTGGTGAATTGACGGAAAAGGTCCAATATATTAAATATCTAAAAAAAAACGCTAAAAATATAAACAAACTTACGAAGTTGGTAGTAGAAAAAGAGAAAAAGGTACCATGCTCCAGCACCCAATCCAGCCAATAAACTAAGCACAGCCAGGATTTCAAAATCTTTCATGGTTGAAGTGGAATGCCATGAGCTCAAACTTCTTCGGAAATGCAAGAACAGCAGGTGGAAATCGATAGCAGCTAGTATGCCTGAAAAAATGTATCGGATATTAAAACTTTGAAAGAGGCAAATATCAATAATAGATGTTATAAATAATATTTATAAAGAGAGTCAGGGAAATACACAAGCTGTTATTTTTTTTGTTAAGGGAGTTCAAAGATTATAACTAAGCCCCACATATACTGTCCGCAAGAGTTAAGAAGTCCCTTGAGCCAAGGTCACATGCAGCAGTGTTTGGAGGTTATCGCACACTAGTCACAGGTGCTAAGCATGAGGGCGCCTTGCCAGGCATATACTGTATGTAGCCTATCTGTAAACATCATTAGGCCTCGTATCTTTGTTTTGGTGAGTGTGTGGTCACGTCAATTGCTTCAGTCTAGTCTCGTGTCTTCATGCAGCGAGTTCTGTTTTGATTTGTACGTTGCTTGTCGCTATGGAAAAACTATAGCCTATCTGCAATTCCTATAAGAAAACATGGTTCAACTATACGTAGTGGAGAGGGATTTCATTACTCGGGTGATTGAGTGTTGTGACAATGAGTGTACTGGTAAAGACAATAAGTTATTTAATGCTCATATAAAAAGGGGTCGCTGTCTACTTGTACCGGCGTTTAGTTGTATCTACGTCTAGTTGTCTCTACATCTAGATGTACCTCTTAAAAATCTGCATGTACAGCTTGTCGGTTACGCAACCGTCTACTTGTACCTCATACGTATGCGTCTAGTTGTACCTAAGACTAGTTGTACCTACGTCTAGTAGTACCTATGTACCTATGGCTAGTTGTATCTTCCCTTCAATGTGTCACCAGTTTAATGGGTTACTTTTAGAGTTTACAGTATTTTTGTAGGGTATTAGTCACGGAGAAAATATAAAAAAATGCAAATTAAAAATGTATATGTTATTCTTATGGAGAATACGTAAACTGGTGTAGTTTGCTTATGCATACATATACTTTGACAAATTTGTTTATTTCTTACTTAACAATTAACATTTCACACAAAAAAAAACACTACTTAATTGCCTTCAACGCAAACGTAATGAAACCTCTATATTGAAAAACCGATTAAAAAATAACCCAGGTATGACTTTTTTAAGCGCTTATTAGTTCTTAATAAAATTAATATTGGTTTAGTTGCAGACTATATAGCCAGCGTACACTGACCAACCTAACTCAGTATATTTAGTTTATATAGTTTAAATAGAATGAAGAAATATAGAAATGAACAACATAATATGAATGTCAACAATTTACATACAATTGAATTGTAATAAGAACATGAGATCAAGGGAAAAATAACAATAGACCGAAATAGAAATTAAAATTCAGTTGAGTTTAATCACTATTACTATCTTAAATTTAATCTTTCTACACCTTTTCCCCATTTATTTGAAAAGTTAATGACTGTATTTGAGATTCATTACTTGTATTTGGGAATTTATCAATATTAAATTAGGCGAGTAAGTTGAATTTGATAAAACAACAAATGTAGCTATATTCCGTGAGGCGAAGGACTCTAAGGGATTACAGCCCTCACACACACAGAGACACACCTACACACACATGGGTCACACGCCGTGGGTTAGTAGGGTCCTGCTTGCGAGTGCGCGTGCGTTGGTTAATCCCTCAGAGTCCTTCGCCAACCTCACAGGCTATCAGAATAGTAAATTACGTATTGTATAGAATTGAGAAATTGTTAATTTCATTTCAGAATGAGAGCTTTTAATTTGAGAAGTTGGCAAATTAGCTGAATTTTAAGTATCAAATCACAAGTTCTCAAATATATTTAACTATTTCTTCAATAGAATTCACTGCTCTTAAATTCAATTTATGCCTTCTTAAATACAACTGTCTGTTCTCAACTTCATTTGACGTTTTCTCAAATAATATTTGACTGATCTCAAATAAAATTGATATGTTCTGATATAAACACAACTGTTTCACAACTGTTATCAACCCTTTAGGAATCGGCCTGTGGTACTATTGCTATTTTTCACCACACTATACAAAATTGAGAAAATATCTATACATTAATAGGCAAGCATAATTCTTTAAAAACTTTTCTCTCAGCTCGTGTACATCGCAGGGAAAATAGGCTTAGGCATGTAATCGTAGATATAATATGCAATTTTTATACGAATAAAGAAATTGTGTGTAAAAAAACTGTTAGGCCTACTGGTTTTGAGAAAAAGAATACATTTTAACTTAAATGGAGCGAATGGGCACTTCCTCGTCACCTGAAAGATATGGGATTCAAGTGGAGGAAATGCGGTTCTAAAAGAAAATTATTAATTGAAGGACCTGTTATTCTAGGTTTGAGGTTCAAGTATTTGCGAGAAACAAGAAAGCTAAGGGAGAGCAAAAAAGGAACATTTTCTATCTGGACGGTACTTGGATGGACAGAAGTTTAACGATAGATTGTGAATTACCTAATATGAACATGTCAAGCCACATGAATTTTGTAGACAATCGTCCATACAAAGAGTTTTTCCTAGGCTCATTTATAAGGCAAACATTGCCAAAAGAGACTATCGTGGCTAAACAACATAGGCTATTTTACTTTATAAAAGAAAAAGTAAATCATAGGCCTAAAAGTCTAAATTTTGCGAAACAATGTTTTTAAAGTAGGCTACTTTATTTACATATAGGCCTACTCTAAAATACTTAGCATACTTATGTAAAATGGAGAAAGAATTTTAAAATCATTATAAAGATTAAATAGGGTAACACAGTTTTTGTTCTGAACAGACATCGACCTTTATTTTTTAAAGTTAATTTTAGACACTTTAGAATAGTTAGGTACCTGCTGTAAACGGTTAAACCCATGTGCTGAAAAAGATTGTCTGAATAAAGAGATATGTTATTTCTGCTGAGTTTATTCTGGTTAAAAGGTGTCCGGATAAGGGGGAGTCTACTGAATTTTCGATTTAAGTAGGCCTACATTTTCTATAATGAAATGCATTCATTCCTACAGTAACTAGTCCCAATGTTTAGCCTAGGCCTACTATGAGAACAGAAATCTGAAGTAACTTAAGCCACACGATTAATTAGATTTTAACACGTTCGCTCAGGGCCGTATTTCCCAACGGCGGACACGGCGGTTGCCAGGGGCCTCACTTGTGGCTTCAAATGGTTTTTCTAAATAAATTAATTTTACCAATAATCCAGGATAGGTAACGCGATCGCTGGAGACTTCATGAAATCTCCGCGTTCGCAATAGTTCATCATTATAACATAGGAGTTGTCACTAAACATCTGCGATCACAGAAGATCTCCAGGATTTTGTCATTCGAAGGACGCGAGTATGATGTCTCCGTGCTGGCGCAAGATGATAAATATTTTTCCGCGACCACAGGAGTCGTTCATGATTTCACCGCAATCGGAGGAAATGTTGATGACGTCTTCGCACTTATGCTAGTTAACTATTTCTCTCCGGCCATAGGAGACATTCATGGTTCACAGTGATTGGAGGAGACGAAAATGATGCCTCCGGTGTAACGGGCCTATTTTGTAAGGGAGGTAGTTTCTAAAGGTATTGTAACCAGGTTAAACTACTAAAGAAGACCTCCTCATTAAAACAACTAACCACAACAACAAACTACAAACAAACTAACAACTAACAATTAAAGTTCAACTACCTGGACATGGTAGAGGAAGGAGGGAAGGAATCACTTTATTAGTTGATAAAAATAGACGATTAAACCACCGAACGGCCTTTAAAAGTTTAACAGCTAGACGTTGGCTGTTGAATGATGAATATATATGGAGAATGCCAAACTTATAAGTTAATAACTCAATCACCTGCCAACTTGACTCGCAAAACTGAAACATTATTGGCTGACTCACAATTAACTTAAACAATTGGCAAAAAATGAGTCAATTGACTCACTTGTTTCAAATAGAATAAGTTAGGTCTGACTCAAGAAGTAACTCATTAAACCACAAACTCACATGGTGAAACTGAACTTACACAAACTCAAAACCAGCCGCAATCGGTCCTAGTCAAGTATGACTTGACTCATAACTGAAGTCAGCAGCAGTTTATAAATCAAAATCAAAATAGCCGAGGCACTTGACTCCATCACATCACTAGGCCTAAAAGCCTAGCTTTTGTAACTTTGAATCAGGAAAATAGGCCTATGTAATCTCCGTGAACTATAGCTGGGTTTACACTATGAAGCAAAAGCTACATAGTAGATTTAAGTGTAGCATCTAGCAATGTTTAAATAACATTTGCTAGAAGTAGAAAAGTACCTTTTCAAAAGTGCTAGCCTACTGCTAAATATAGCAGATTCTGCAAGAATTGTGCTATCCATCGGGAGTCGGTAAAGATCAAAAGAAATAGTGCTAACTAGCAACTGTATGACGTTCCTATATAGCCTATGTATTTAATATTGATGGCAATAAATGGATTTGATTTGATTTGAACTTACATCTAACATTCTCTGAATGTTGTGTTTATTTCCTTCAATCTTGTGGTCATTCAAGCCAATGATGAATTCAAAATCTTCACTCGTTATACCCTACGTAAAAAGTTTTTGAAGCCACCATTGCATTTTATTTCACTTTTAAATTATGGATCATCAGCATGATCGTGATCATTAAGGTCCCGGAATAAATCTGTAACACTATAGGCCTTCTTAATTCTCGAAACAAGCGACGGTCAAAACAAAACCTTCGCTTCCGCGAACCCTTATGGCTGCCACGAGCAATAGGTCTCTTCAGCGCGACATTTTGATAAGGAATGTGAATATAGCCCCCTAAAAATGACGATTGAACATCGGGAAAAGCCCTAACTTATAAATCAATGATTTTTGGGGCTTGAATTTTTTTTTTTACTTTTTACTTTTAGAGTGTTTATCTTATTAGCCTAATTTATTTAGTCCATTTCAAACACTTTTTCGGCAAATGCCGTTTTTACCCAGAAAACCAGGTTAGAAAATCATAAAAAATAGCAATGTGCCAAAAATGACCCATTTTTGGGTAGCCGAAACCAAATTAAATATAATCCAACCTAACTTAATTTAACCTAAGCTAATCTAAAATAACCCAACCTAACCCGTGTACACTATAGGCTAGCAAAGTGCCGAAAATTACCGATTTTGGGTAAACCAAGGTTAGTCTAGAAGGTAAGTTAGGTAACTTGTTAAGTTTTTGAAAAATTTACCTACCGGTCAAATGCGCCAATAGTAAGTTAAATTGATTCTTAACACTACACGATTTTCAATTGCGTATTTTTTTTTTGGGTGAAATAACTTAAGTTATAAGTATTTGCCAAAAAAGTGTTTAAAATGGCCTAAATTAATGAGAAAAATAATTTTTACTTACTTAGGCTAAAGTAAAAAAAAAATTCAAGCACCTAAAATCGCCGAATTCTAGCATTTTTTCAATGTTCATAGCCTAGCCTAACTTAAGGGATTTCAGGGTGAAATATTAGGCGTTTCCCCCTAAAGGGCCAAAGGTTAAAAATGCTTAAAATCGTCTAATTTTGGTAAAGTTAAGCTTAGATAAGGCAAAAAAATGTAATAGGCTATGACATAAGTAGTAGGCTACAAGTGTAGTATTACCGAATCACTAAAATTGCCTGCAACTCTTTTGTAGAGTACGGGTACAGTTTCTTAACTGGTGTGACGCAAAATTCTAGGGAGGGGGGGGGGAATAAACTAGTATTCACCTAAGTCAGGCTAGGCCTACCCCTAGAACCGGCCACACTCAAATTTCTTCCCCGGAGTGCTCAGAAGGAGCCGAGAAAAATCCAGGGGTCGATACGAAGTTGTCACGGCTTTGACTGATCAATTTATTTAACATTTAATCGAAGGCTCAGAGCTCTGGAAGCGCTCAGGAAATCCTGCAGACGCCCAGTTGGAGTTATATCATCCCAGCCTTCGCTAACTTAACGTGTTGGAGAATTTTGCCTAACTTTTAGGATGACTCTGTAGGGCCAACGAGTATTCAATCTTAGCCAATGTGATGTAACTACTCGTATTCAACTTCAAAACAAATGGCTAAGGACGTTGATATGTGACGTATGGGGGCACGCTTCGGAAACAAGAACCATTCTGAAAACTCAAAAGGCTGCTATAAGAGCCATAACATCCAGCGCAAGGCATGAACATTGCAAACCACTGTTCCGTGACTTAGGAGTAATGACTGTTTACAGTCAATTTATTTACAATTGTCTGGTGCATGTCAAGGAAAACATAGGCAACCTCAGCTGCAGAAACCAACTTCATGATTATAACACGAGAAGAGGAGAAATTTTAAACATTCCTTTTTGCAGGCTGAGCAAGCAAAAAGACTGCTATCCTGTCCTTGGCATTAGGCTCTACAACCATCTGGACAAGAACATAAAGTCACTCCCTCTCAGGAATTTTAAAAAGAAAGTAGAAGAACTACTAAAGTCACGGCCTCTCTATTCCATTAGGGAATATTTTGTTGAGGAAAGTGATGAATGGATCTCATGACCTACTGCCATGTTAACCTATTCTAAAGTATTAACACTTTAAACTTTTTTTGACGAAATCTATCCAGTCATTACTGGTCAGCGATGGATGTATGGTATAAAGGTATAAAGGTATAAAGATAATTGATACAATATCGAATATAAGATAAAAACAATTCCTACAGAGTCGTCGGGGCCCAATTAATATAATTGAATGGAGAATTTATCGTGGGATGATTTAAAATAGATTTGATACTAATATTCGTAGCTGATTGTTCAACTCAGCCTACTCCCAGACTTGATACTTTCACCCGCCACAGACGGGGTTTAGAACTCAATCTACAAGTCTCGGGGTATCGAAACGTCAAATTAACTAAAACAATCCAAGTAACAATTACTCGTTAAGCGAATGGAGAAATCGTCATTTCGAAACTAATTAATTAAAATAAAATAAACGATCGCCACCGCTAGTCACTGGCAGGCAGGAACTGGCGGGTCAAGACTCAAGTTACGATATTAAATTTAGATAATTCAAATTGGTAATTTAAGAAAACGTAAAAAGGGGCCTAACTGGTGTGTTAGCTAACCTTCGTAATCGAATCGTAGGGTCGTATTAGTAAGTCGTGTGTGAGCTAGTCGGCGGTCAAATAGCGAATAATCTTGTCCGGCTCAAATCCCGATTTCCTCGGCCGCGGCTTAAGCGCTCCGGTGGTGATTTTGGAAACTAGCCAACAGCTGAGCGGGGATTCGGTCTAGTTATCGTCTGTCGTCGGTCAACAAACACCAGTTTGAGGTTATGTCGTCGTTGTCGGTGATAAATACTTGTAAAATCGGTCGGTTTAACTTTGTTTGATGAAACGGGGTGCTATTATGAGTAAATATGCAGTTGTGGGTGTGTTTGTGTACTTCACTGTGATTAAAAATATAGGCCTACGTTCTTTGGCTCATAGCCGAAGCTAGGGCCCACACATAGGCCTAGGAGTATGCTATTGTAGATGAAAACTGGCAAGTTATGGTGTTTGTTGATTAGCAGTAGGCCTACGTTTTTTTACCCCCCTCAAAATTTGGTAGCCTACCTCACACTGGGCTATGCTAATATCGATCGAAACTATCGATTCGATTAGTAAACCTTCATGCGATTTTTTCACCATCAGCAAGTTTGGTTGGTTAGGTTATGATAGTTTAATTTTATAATAGGCCTAGATATATTTAAAAATAACGATCAGGGCCTACTATACAATACTTTCAATTCGATAGTTTCAATCGACTAGCATAGCCCAGTTAAGAAACTGTACCCTAGAGTACAGTAAGCTATGTTACATAGCAAAAGTTATGTAACAATGTTATAGCCTATAGTAAAAGTTATATAGGCTAGCAGGTGTCTACATAGGTCTAGTGTAAACCCGGCTTAAAGAAGACACTTGCCCAAAAGATTGTTTCCAGAAACCACAATGCAAGTTATTATTGATCTAGCCCAATAAACGACCATCGCTGTTGCCTCTGCTTACCACAGTTTGGGAATGATTTGGAGGGTCAAAGGTTCAAAATGGATTCTACCTAAGTTATTAACTTATGCTTACCTGATATCAATGCCCACACGGCGGCATGATAGTTTGCTGCCAAGAAAAAGTAGAATGTTGAGAAACTGACACACACTCCTATTCCACTGAATACAAGGCCTAAAATTATTTTACAACTTCCCATTATGAGATTTTGAGCAGCCTAACTTAGTGAATTGGCTAGCAAGCAATAGCTCTCAATATTGTGGTCAAATGAACAATATAGTTCACAGCACAAAATGTTAGGGATCTGTTTCAATGAAAAAGAATCACTGACACTGATGAACTGAACAACAGATTAAAAATTTAGGCTATTAGGCCTATTCTAAATCCAACCAAATAAAAGATACTGTTGTGTTGTGAATCACGATCACGAAAGGTCCAACTCCACTCCAACAAAAACAAACAAGAGTTAAGTACACATTCCATTTCCTTCTTTCCCTTCTCCTCTCTCGTTTACTGTTCAATTCCATTGTTCCATTTTATTTTCCATTATTCCTTCTGCCTATTCTGCTATTCTCCTAATTCAATTTTTTTTACGATGCGTCATGATTTTTTCATTCCCCATTGGCTGGTGGATTTCATAACATACTAACAGCATAGAATAAATAAACACCATTTATATTACTTCATCTATGCTAACAGCGTTTTATTTCTTTTTGTCACATTATGAATGGCGGCCTGAATATCTTCCATGAGGTTTTGAGGTACCGTTATACGTTTTGTTGTTGTCCATCGGTTATTTTCTTTCTATTAAGTTTGGTTTGGTCTCATTCTGGAATTTAAATATTGAAATTTCTAACTACACCTCAGAAAAAAAAATGAGAACAGCAATTGAATCCTCCAGAAGAAAATTTCCATATTCACGATCACGACAATATAACACTGACAGCAAAGACTCAATAAGTCATTTATTTGCCAAATTAATAAATACAATTTTTGTATTAGCTACGTCAATACACTGAATAACACTCAGAAACTTAAAATATATACCATTATACAATAAATAAAATTTAAAGGAAAAATCATTAACCGCTAGCCAGAAACTCATGGACGCTGTAGCAACATTCCTAAAGCATTGACTCGAGTCTTCAATCTAAGCTGATCATATTTCTCTAATTTAAGATAATGGTTAGACTGTTAAAAAATTAAATTCCACTGTACAAGAGGTTATGTTGAAAAAAAGAAGTGGCGTCTTTGGGAATTTAAAGCTGATCGTGAAGCGCAAGGGGTAACTGCAGAAATGAGAATTGTCATTAAACTTGAAAAGGTTTTGCCTAACAAATTAGAGCGTCTCAAAGTAATGTTAAAATTCCAGATGAGCTGAAACCCTCCTTGCATGAACTGCGACATGGTTGCTGAGAGAAAATGGTTATACTTACTGCGTTTTTCTGAAGCCTCAAACAAGAAAAGTGTTCTTTGATTTTCAGCACCCCAAATTGGCATATGATAAAATATGAAAAAAAGATATATCAAACAATAGTCTGAACGGAGATCATCAGTCTAGGCCACAGGCTTGTAATGATCACTATGTTCGTTTACTTTGTTTTTTACACTGCCGCACCTATGTTATGTTTTTTTTCTCTCTCTCAAGTAGTTTATTCTTGTTACCTATCACCTGATGATGGTTTTTCTTCTTCTCTTGTTAAATTTTGTATTTTTTTTATTGCTCATGTTCCCGAGTTTTGCTCAATTCTTCTAATTTATTTAATCTATGTTTGTTTTGCTCGATATGCTACCTTAGAATTACTTTTGCTATTGCTTATTGCTTGCTATTGTATTGAATTGATAATGTGTTGTTTGTAAAATGGTGTTTGCCGTTGAGAATAAATAAATAAATCAGTATTAGCAGTTCTGAACAAAGTTCGCAGGACAAAGGGAGGCCCCTGATAACCCTGCCCATGACGTAGTAAACATGTTGATTGAAGTTTAGATGTTGATAGGTAAAACGGTACATTCACTGATTCTGTTGGCTGAACCAAAGTTTGATTCAAGAGTGATAAAGAATAGAGTCTTGAATAGATTGGTTCAAGATACGGAAATTTAGCAACTGTTTTTTATGTATTTGTTTTTAACCTGTGGTTGACGTCAAACTGAATGAGTTTCTTTGCCTCGATGAAGGTTCTTTGTTCAAGTTCAGCTGGTAGAGAGTGTCAAAGAGCTGTGTCGACTCCTAGGCTTCTTATCTTTACCAATCTTATACTGTACTGCTTATACATGTCAATGCGTCAATTATATAAGAACTATGAAAAATGAGCCTGCTCTTACAATTCATCAATGTTCTTAGCAAAATGTACTTTTTAGCCTCTGTTATGTAAGGGATAACCTACACCAGCTCACAACAAGGGAATTCCACCACTCCCACAATCTTCGCAACAGGGACCAGCCTCACATACCTTACTGCAGGCTGTCCAATTAAAACACATAGCTGTTTCCGCATTAGGGCTCTGAAGCTGAAGATGTACAATGATCTCCCCCAAAGATTTAAGACTTGTAGACCGTGCGCTTTTTAAAAAAAAAGTCAAAGCCTGGCTAGTCGACCGACCACTGGACTCAGTCACGGCCCTCAGTTGATGAATATTTTGATGAGTTGCACCGAGTATAGGCTCAACACCATCTTGCCTTAAGTATTGTAAATAGTGTACATAGTATTTTTAGATCTATCCTTGACAGTCTACCCAGAAATTCTGGTCAACAACGTCACAGCAGATTCAAGGTATTTTATCATACTGTATTTCCATTTATTTTATTCTGATACATCCAATGAATTAATTTAATGTTGATGTTACTCCTGGCCAAATGAATGAAGTATGATTAATTATTGATGGGTGGTGATACTTTCTTTCGCTAATTGATAATCTGGAGCAAAAAGTTTTAAATCTATCGTATCGGAATCCGCCTATGACCACGGCCGCCTTTAACTACTACAGAACTGCTGCTAGAGCTAGACTAGAGGTAAATTAGATTAGGAGTGATTGCGAGTGAGATTGTGGTGGAGGCGAGAGTAAAAAGAACCAAGTAGTGTTAAGTTTATTTTGTGTTTGTGTAATGTGTTGTTTTCGTTGACTTACTCTATACCACACCCCTTTCGTTCGTCCCTTTCTGTTGTCATTTTCATTTGTGAAATAATTTTGTTCGTTACATCAAAAATTTGAAAAGGTAACATTTGCAATGTACTATAGTAATAATTTACTGGCAAATATTTATTGTGTTTTATCTTTTAAATACTATTCCATACGCTAATTTAATTTATTGTCGCCATTGTATGTATGGTTACTAACTTAACTTATTGTCGAAAGCTATGCTATAACTTTAGGCATAAACCTAGGCCTAGTTGGAAATAATTCTTACCTGTTGATCCAATTATGATTTCAACTTGATTATCTTGCATGCCAGCCAAATTTACCTTAATACCTACCATGGTTAGGCCTATATCCACCTTCTTCCAGTCTAACTTAAACTTAACTTAGGTCATCAGTTTTCTGATTTGGCTATGCTTTACTGAAAGAGTGCCCTAGACCTAGGGATGGTGAAATTTCTCAATTTGTTGGTGTATTAATTTTTCTCTAGGCAAAGTATTGATCCCAAAAATAAGTTAAGTTAAGTTATGAGTTAAGTTACCTATCGAGCACTAAGTTATAAACATTGATATTTCCTACATAATGAAACCTGTTAGGAGACATGTTTTTATTTAAACTAAACCTGTCTTTAAGCACAAAACAGTGTGATTTTGTCATGACCTTACGGTTTTAACCTCAAATCATTATTTAGCGGCAAAGCGCCTGCAGGGAATCTTTTGAGTGGCTAAACGATATCTGGTAGGTCTATTTATTCCGTATAGGTGCCTCCAAACAAATTTTTAATTTTGATATCTTTAAATTTACTTTACCGGTATAGTTTTTTACCTCCTGAATCCAAATATACCATTATTTTTCACCGTTGATGAATATTTCTCAAGATATCGCCGTAAAAACATACAACATTACAATAAACAAGGTAGTATGGATAACATTTACAAGTGGAATGAACTGTGGGTAACTATACCGACAGCTGATTGTTTTCAACCACACAACAAAGTTCTGGAATAATTCTGGATAATACTGGAAGTAACAACTTTTGAACTTTATTAACTCACTCTGATTCTATCATCGGCATTATGCCTAGTGACAACATTTTACTTCACTACAACTAGAACTCAAAACAAAAATACTCATACTCATACGTGCTGTGTAGTGCTAGTCTGCTACGCCGTTACAAGTCCAGGTTAAGTGAAGAGAGTACCTAATATGATTGATGAGAAGAAGAACATCATTTGATTAAACATGATAACATCGTTGTAGAAACATTTCAAGTGATTCTGTAGTCAATAATGTTTTCTATAATAGGAATTTCGTCACATTATGGAGATATAAGTTAGATGGATTGGTGCACTAATTATATGTAGTTCTTATTAGTGATGTGCGATACGGGTCAATGTATCGATACTGCATATCTATACGTATCGGAACGTGGTGTATCGTATTGTATCCTGATGTATAGATTTTTACCCGTATCGGATAAAATATCGTATCGTATTGTTTATTTATAAAATTTAAAAAAATTTTAATATCTCAAATATACAAGCTGCATAGACAAATACTATGTTACTTATAAGCTTGTAAAGAGGGTTAGTGCATGTAATCTTACCTCAGAAAAGCCGTTTCCTTTCTGTGTCTTTTTATTTGAATCAAACTCACTATACATAACCTTCAAATTCCGGCAAAACCTCAAAATTGGAAAACATTTTGTTATTGTTTTCCTTGTTTTTACACAGGGATAATTAATTGAACCAAAAGGTAGCTACTCATAATGATGGTGGGTATGCCACTTACACATTAAATAATATAATATGGATAATGAGTGACCCCAATTCCATTAATGGTGGCCCTAGTTTTGAGGTTATTTGCAAAACATAGCTGAAAATACATGTTTTATCAGTGTTTTTGAGGATGGTAGGGTAAAATATCAAATTTCCACTACTAATTTTGAGGGGAGGAAGATGGGAAGACAAATTTCTTACCTTAAAAATAAGATTTATGTTAATAAATAAACAATACGATATTGGCTATAGGTGTATCGATACGGGCATATTGATACACTCCCACGTATCGATATCTGTATCGATACGTATCGATACTCACATCACTAGTTCTTATTTAGGCATGTCAGGGTGGTAGGTCGTGCTGTATGTGAATTGGTGACTGCATTAAGTGTTTTGAAGTTAGGTTAGATTAGGACGGTAAAGTTTAGGTTATAATGTATCGAGTTGTTAGTTTATGTCGCCTGCAGACTGTTTTTGTAAAATTAAAATCCTGATAAAAACACATCAAATAACTTTTTCAAAAATGCTTACAGAATCAGAGTTAGCTAATTAAAGTTGTTACTTCCTTTTTCTTGACTATGATTGAAAACAATCAGCTGTTGGCTAACTTAATCCATAGTTCATTCCACTTGTAAATATCATCCATCCTACCTTGTTTATTGTAATTTTGTATATTATTACGGCGATATCTTGAGAAATAATCATCAGCTGTGAAAAATAATGGTATATTTGGATTCAGGAGGTAAAAAACTATAAAGTAGGATATCAAAATTAAAAATTCGTTTGGAGGCACTTATACGGAATAATTACCCGTTATCTTGTTCTGTGGATCAGAAAAAGGGCCTTTCCACACAATACTGACATAAAACACTTTCAAACATAATTTTGGATGGTCGTTATCTCAACTGCTCAAATCAACACACTTAGATCTAGAGCCTAGACTACTTCATTTTCACTAAGTTATCTACAATAAGTTTACCATTTGGCCAAAATCTACACAACAGTCAACTCTTGAACTAAATCACTCCAACCATTCCTAAGTATTTATATAATTGATAAACTCTTCATGATCGATAAAATATTTTTTCCTTTCTTGTACCCTATTAATTTATCTTTGGGCCAGTTTAGACGTCTTCTCGCTTCATTTGAAGGTTGTCAATTAATCAAATAATAAGCTTAAATCTTGAATAGGACCTGCACACTTACACAGACATAAACACAAAAATTTCAAGGATTATAAGAACAGAAGGTAACTTAAGTAATTTTTTACAATCCGAATGTTCCTGTTTATGTGTGTGCGTGTTCTAATTTATGATTAATTCACAACTCAAATTCCATGTTGAGGGCCCCTGGATTACTATATAACTTATGACTAATAACTAGGCCTATGGCACAATACCTCGTCAAGGAATCACAGACCATCTTGACACAGGTAGTAGGTACTCCAGTGCTCAGTAGAGCAGGTAGAAGGCGTCGTGAGATAGGCCCATCAATTTTAATTAAATGTTCGTTTAGTGTCTATTTATTGTGTGCATGTGACATCGATGTTTTGTATGTTTGGTTACCCCGACGATGCCACATTTACGGCGAAACATGTAGGTTATTAACCTGACATCAGAAATTTTGATTACTTGACGAGGTATTGTACCATAAGCTAATTATTAGTAATTGACAACCTTCAAATGAAGCGAGAAGACATGTTAAAAAGTTAACTGGTCTGAAGATGACTCCTATGCAAGTTGAAACCGGTTGCCATACTGCAACACACCAGTTTGCATAAATTGAAAGTAGCCTAGGCCTATTTTACACCAATTTATTAATTAAGAATAACGCCTGATATATTAACTAGAAAAACATAAACTCCTGATTAGGTACTGTACATTGACATCAAAACATTGGTGGTAAAATGTGGATGTTTTTGGGCCAAAACATCGATTGTGGGCCTATATATAAAGTTATCAATGTTATTACAATCACCTATTACCTAGACCTAATTTTCTTGATAAAATTGTAACAGCATGAACTGCAACTAACGATTAACACTTTTTTACTTAATATTTTTTTAAGTGGATATTCTAGCGCGAAATTAAAACTTAACCTGCCTCATGTTATCTTGTTTGTTTTGTTTATTGTAGGCCTATAGTGTTTTATCTGGAACTGTTCTAGACGATTTGAAAAATTAAAACTGAAATTATCACGTGATTAGAATTAGATTAAGACATATTATGTCTAAAGTAGAAAATTATAATTATTAATAACAAGGCAACCAGTAGGGCTGGTTTAAATGTCTACAACAGAGATTCAACAGGACGATCCCAAGTATCAATTGTGGTTAAAGCAACTGCAGTATAGTCTCTATTATCCGATCTTTAGTTATACAACCTTCCGTGTATTCCGATACTCTTATAAAATGATCGTAATGTGAAATCCTGTGCTATCTCCCTGTGATACTAAAATGCACTGTAGTGGGTGCATTGAGACAACTTCTTTTGTCACTTCTGCCTGTACTCAGGAAAATATATCAGGCTTTAGGTATCTGCACTTGGCTGTACTTTCTTATTGTTTGAGCACACCACATACCACATACTACATACTACACATACTACATAGCACATAGTATGTCAACTTCTCATACACACTGCATACCTACCTCTGATATCCACTTAATCATGGTAAGGCCTCTTTTATGCACGACGTTTTCGGTCGGGCGATATTGTCGGGCGGAATCCATGTCCCTTTTATGCAGTTTCTCCGCCGAGCGGAATCTGTTAGTTTTTTATGATGTCCACGGTGGGGGTGGTCATTGCTGCCAACTTTGTTCATTTTTCCATCGTCAGTGACCCAAGATGGATCCTTGTTTATTGGTTTATACCTATTTGTGCGTAAAGAAAAATAGACAACGGCAATGGAGGTGGGCTGTACAGTGTACACCCGGAGAATGAAAGTCTTAGGGTTGGCAGCAATGACAGTGTTGGCAGTACTGCAGGGTTGCCAATGAGATGGTGTGATTGCCTTTTGTTCAACAATTCCCATATCATTCCCGGGTATACCTTTGATACAAAAATTCCCATGTCAGTCCCGGGAATAAAGTCGTATTATTCCTACGAAACAGTAAGTTTGTATTATTCCGCGGATTTAAACAGAAATGTAATTCTCACACAGTAATTTTTCCCCCAATTACATCTCTTTATTTGTAGTCTTAAATCAATTTTAACGAATAATGATAGGCTAATCTATTTACAATGATTAGGCAATTTCAATACTGGGGATGACAGAGTGTGGAGTAGGTTGGCTGCACTACATTTCGCCCGACGGAGAACGCAGTTGCATAAAAGGGCTCCATTTGAACCTATGTAAAAACACGCTCCGACGAAACGCCGAAACTCGGCGAAGTCTTAGTCCTCCGTCGGCCTCTGACGGAATGCTGAAATGCGACGGAGATTCCGTCGTGCATAAAAGGGTCCCATTTGAATCCATGTTAAAACACTCACCGACGGAAAGCCCGATAGATTCTGATAGATTCCGCCTGACGAAAAACACCGTGCATAAAAGAGGCCTAACTGACACCCATTTATAAGCTGACTAGTATTAAAATTTTACAGTTAGGCTACAATATTTAATGTTTTTACTTTGTAAATTATTTATATGTTATTTATGATGAAGGTTTAAAAACGGCAAGATTAATGATTTTAATGTAGGCTATTACAAGCCTTGAATAGGTATAACAGGAGAAAAGCTTTATTGATTCAACGATATTTAACATGTTTATGATGGCTTTAATCTTTTCAGCATTATCTGCCCTTGCTGAGCCCAGTTTAGGTTGGATAATCGAGACTATTAAAAGGAGAAGTTTACTGATTCACAAGGCTTTGTTTATGCTTTGTATTACCGTATTGCTTTTATAGTTTATCTAGTTCTAGTTGGCAGTTGTACAGTTAGTGATAGCAGAGGATACATTCAATGGTACACTTTAATCGTGTCTAGCACCAGTCGCTTGTATCTAGATCAAATTCTATTGGTTGTCCCCTTCCGCTCTCCTTTCCCCCCTCACCATCACGAACTATAGTGCTCATGCTGTTAGGAAGAGCCTGTGTGCTACGTAAACAATAGCTGTTCGGGCTCTTCCTGGGTCGGTACTAGTGTATTTTCGCCCCTACATTCCACAGCTAAAAGCACACGGTTGTTCCATATAAGCACGTTTCCTCTGTACCTTACTTCTCTGTTGTGATAGTTTGGTCACATTTTAAAATTGTAAAAACCTTTATCTAGTTTTTAAAATTATTTTCCTTCTTTTTCAGAAGATGAATCCAGGCAAAAAGTCGCCCAGTATGGGCACGCCATCGATGTACTCCCACATCACAACAAGGTCATCAGCGAATCTTAAGTCCACTCGGTCTATGCGATCCGTTCGGTTGCCTTGGTATCAACGGCCAATATTGACTGATGCATATTTCATTGATATTCAAAGGGGATCATTGTTTTTCTCTATTTATTCCCTGGTAAGTACTTCTTTCCATAACGTTTCAGGAGATCTGGCATGTATTACCCATCATGGCATGTTTTTGTACTCATCTTGTTATGTACAATGTACTGAATTATTCTCAGCAAGGAGCTGCGTGTGATATCAGCTACAAAAAATACCCTTGTTGACATTTATTTAGCATACTTAAAGTATCGTAAATATTAAAATTTAACATTATGACTGTTCTTTTGCAGTTGTTGAGCATCTTCACACTGATCACAGCAGTTTTTGATCTTTATTCCCTCGGAATGGCTGCACCAGGCTCAACTCACTACGGCTTCTACTTCATCAGTTATCAGTTTGTTTATGTGGGAAATAGATATGGTGAGTATTTTGTTACTGTCATTCATAGTAAGACTAGTTGTCCTTTTGATAAACCTAATTTTCTGTTCAAAATTTGTCATAAATATTTTAATGCGAGGGAGAAGATATAACTATTAACCGGCTAAAAATTAAATAGTGAACCTTAAAATTATACCCACATTTATTTTGATAGGTCTAAGGTCAGAATTGCTCTTTAAACTAGTAAAAATATTACCAATAACATAAAGCTATTAAAATTACGATGAAAAAACCTTTACGAATAATGTTAGTTGACTTAGGAGAAGAGATTTAGTCAAGTCAGCTTTTGTTAAAGATCTGGGAATATTAACAGTTTTTTGACAGTACATTTTTGATACCGTTTGCGTTTTGATCATTAAGGAAAACATTATCACTGAAAATAGCTCACACCACCAATACCAAAGAAACAAGCTAGACATGCAAGTATTTAACAGCCAAAATTAGAATTTTCTTTTTAAAAATCCATTATTTTCTGGTAACATTGGGAAAACTCCAAACGAAACAAAGAAAGAGGAAAACGGAAATACATTTAAAAGAAAACTAAAAAACTACCGTCATAGGGCACTTTATTCTTTTGAAGAACTTGCCTGAATCTTATACGATTGCACTTTTCTTCTATGCTCTACCTTCACATCTGAGGACGCTAGGCCTAGAGGGTCATGGCATTATCACAAGGATAAATACATTGGTGAATGGTGGGATTTGAACGCGGGACTTGAAGATTGGAAGCCCCTCTCTCTCTCTACCACTAGACGTACAATAGACAAGCTTGCTCACTAATAATGAAATCTTAGAACATGCTGTATTTGATTGAGCTCATGCTGAGTTAATTTAATTCCATAAAATAGGTAGGCCTTCTGAATGTACTGTGTAATAAATCATTCAGAGAACGACTTTACTCAGTAACTTTTTTTGCAGTGCGGAACATCTTGATCCTGTTTGCATTGTTCTCCTTGATCGCAGCCGTGGCTGTCCTTGTTTCCAGCATCATGCTTATAATAGCCCTAAGAAAGGTTTGTGATCTCATATAACTTTTATTTCTGCTTTAGTTTAGAAAAATTAATAAGGTTTATAAACAATCACACAAAAATGTGTATTTTCATCTAGCTATGTTGCTTCCAATGCTGATTCTAATGATAAAACTTAGGTTACTAATCCCCGTCTTCAGTTAGGGCCTATACAATATTTACAAGACAACTGCAGTATCAGAAACATAAGCTTTCATCATCAGGCCATAAAAGATTTTTTAAATAGTAAATAGATGCAAATAGTATTTTTATTTTTGAATATATATAGGCACTGAATATTCATGTCCACGTTAGTGTTTATATGTTTAACATGTTTCTTTTATGAAGTTACATTAGTTAAAACTTTTTTAAGTAGAAAAAATGCCTACATTATTGAGTGCTATCTACTGGTGGAAGCTTAAACTTCCGAAACTGTAGTCATATGGATATCATACAAAAGTTGGAGGTTAGGAATATACTTTTATATTGTCAATCTGAGTAAGTCTAGAGATTATCAAATGACTCGTTGTTGCAATAGTAGACAATGTAACCAAACAGAGCATCCAATCCTAGTTTTGTTGGTTATAGGGAAAGAGTGGAAGAGTTTAACATCAAGGCTTAACTCTTAAAGCGGTGTTTACACTTCCGTATTACCACGTCCATAACAACGCCAATGGACAGCCGTACGCAAATGCCGTGGCGCCACGGTACCGTCCCACGGCCACAAGCAGCCGTGTAGTATAAACAGTTTTCTGGTAGAAGCGTATTCATTAAAGGCGTGTTCATTTTTATTGACGAGTGCGTTATGGATTGTGCTAACAGATTAATTATTGAAGGTTGTGCTGCAGTGAGTGTTAGCTGTAGAAATAGTATGTCATTTAAGTGTTATTAAAAGAAAGAAACCAAGCTGTAGCTTTCAATATTTATATCAAATAAACAAGGTTCACTTTGATACAGTTCAAGCATTCAAATTGTTTGACCTTCCGTTAATTTTAAAGATTGCTTTGTTTTCACCGTTTCAATTGATTCAAATTGTGTCAAAGTTATAGATTTTTTTTGTTTTCGCCATGGTACCGTACATAAAAACTAAGATGAGAACCACTGACTTTAAAGACCAATAGTTAAACTCGTAGTACACACAATGTTGAGACGGAAGACGAAACTCCTCACCACGTCTAGCCAAGCATCCAACTGGCGAAGCAACCAAACACGTTTTGGTTAGTTCTAAAAGGCGTGGGGAACAGGCGTATTGGGTTACCACGCCTGTTGCTCCCACGTCTCCACTGTTCAAGAAAGTGAGAAAATTTCTCACCTACATGCCTGATTTTAGCCGTGGCCCCACGACAGTGTAAACACCGCTTAAGTGCTACAGTATAATACCCTCTCTTACACAAACAGAGTACACAGCTTTTATACACAATCCTTCTGTATTTATGTAATAAGAATGGAAAGGTCAGTTTCTGGATTCCCAGACAAAGTTGGTTAAATCATCTGGTTTTAAAATTCAGGGCAGATAAAGCAATCTTTGCGAAGGTAGAGATGGTTAATCTGTTTTGTGCTAATCCCAGTTTTCAATAGAATTGTACAATGTAAGAGTTATGTCCAAGAACCAAAGCATCCTTTTTACTTTTCAGGAGTACGAGCACAAGATAGTTCCTTGGTTGTATGTGTTTGCCGTGTTTACAATCTTGCGGTTCCTGGCCTGGTTGTTCTTCTCCATAGTCAATGATCTGATATTCGGCTACAACATCACCATGTGTCTTCTCTGGGCAGTATTTACTGCCCTCAACATCTACGGCTGGATCCTCGTCTACTCTCTGTACCTGGAACTGTCTGATCTCACTAAACTGGAAGACCTAGCTCACTTGCGTGTAAGTATAATACCACATTCCAAACTTTGTTAATTGTCACAAAATAATCTGGTGGAAAATAATTTACGTGTGGCTTAGCAAATACTTCTCAAACCTGTTAGCTGATTAGAGGGATGGTGTGACTTGTATTTTATAGTAAATAATTAACATATTTTAATACACACATTGTTTTTCTAAGGTAGTTTGAATGTATAATGTTAACTAATACATGGTTGAAGATATGTCTTCTAAATTTAAAATACAAACTGTAGTTATTTGCTCAAATATATGCAGATTAGGTGTGTTGTGTACCCTGCAATAGTGCTTTTGTAACTTTGCCGAATGAAATTTTCATTATTTACTGTCATTTTAATTATTATTTACTGTCAAATGGCTGACAAGTTTAAGCAGAGACTGTATTAAAGGGGTCTTGATTAATGAAATGAAATGAAATGTGTTTATTGTCTTGTGAATTTATACAAATTATTGACAATGTCCGAAAAACTGCTAGAACTAGCATAGTCAGTTAATGAATACAATATAGAATATTTACAAGAATACTACACACAAGGAGACATGTTACAATACATACTTTAATATTACAACCAAATAATCTTATTGTTCAGAAAAATGCAAGGCATTTAGAATAATGAAAGTTATTAAACCCCATAACCAACTAAATCCAACAGTAATTTGATAAATTTGCTAGCTCTACTTAAAAATTAATAAAAGGTATTTCAAAAAAATCTTTTAGAGAATAAAAAGGGTTGTTCAAAAGCCATTTGTAGAATTTAGATTTAAAAGTTTTATTAGGATATTTTGTTATTAAATGTATTAGCTTGTTGTATATTTTAGTGAGATTACAATATGACTTTTAAGAGTTTTAGACAGTCTAAAAAAATCTATGGTAGCAACGTTTTTATTCCTTGTATTATGAACATGAGAATTTTGTTTGATAAGGTTGGGATTTTGTAGAATATATGATACAGAGTCAAATATATAAATGTTAATTACTGTTGGAATTTGTAGCTGAATGAACAGGGGTTTACAGTGTTCCTGTTGGGGTTCACAAGATATGATTCTAACTAACTTCTTTTGTAAGACTAAAATTTCCTCTATCCTACTGCAATTTCCGTAAAAGATAATATTATATCTGAAAATGGATTGGAAATAAGCAAAGTAGGCTGTTTTAATATAATTTTGATCTATACAATGTATTAGTTTAGTTATAAGACAAATTACCCTTGAAAGCTTAGAACTTATGTAATCTATATATGATCTCCCCAAGAAAGGGTCTTATCCAGATAAATACCAAGAAATTTAACATTGTCTACATAACCATCCAACATATTTGATTCACAGGGTCTAAGGCTAAAAACAATTTTTTGAGTTTTATCTTTGTTTAAGAGGAAGCCATTTGATTCAAACCAAATAGAAGCTTCATTGATTGAGTTTTGAGCTAACTCTTGAAGTTGTTTAAGATCGGGATTAATATTTAAAAATGTTGTATCATCTGCATACAAATAAGTTTTACTGGTTATACATTCTGGGAGGTCGTTAATACAAATTAAAAATAATAGAGGACCTAGAACAGATCCCTGAGGCACGCCCTGAGGCAGCTTTAAATGAGGGTTTACTGGCAAGTATTAACAGCTGATTTGCTTTAAATACAACAAAGGTTTTATACTTGTTTACAGCCTATGAAAATTAAATCTGTTTGTTATTGTATCCTTATTATCAGTTGGTTACATTGCATATCCAAACCCTTGTGATTATATCAAAGTATATAAGTATCTGTAACAAAATACTTTTAATGTAGGCTGTTAGGTGCAAGGTGTAGCCTAGTACACTCGTAAGGTTTTAGGTTTCAATGTATATAGCGATGTCTAATGTGTATTTAGACATAAATAACTGTAGTAGTAGTAAGTAGTTGTTAATTGGTAGTAATTCTCAGTTAGTAATTTGATTACATTTTTTCACAAGCAGCTTGGGTTGTCTATGAACCCTGCTCACCACGTAAGTATTCCCAATGTTTGTCACATTAATGATGAATTTGGAAAAGGACTGATATCAGTAGATATTTAAGCAAGCGTCTTGAGTAGGTTTTTGTCAAATCACATTTTAATGCTTTAAACAGTTTATTACTTTTGTTGCACTATTTATTTTTATATGGGTTAAGTTTTAAGGCCTGTGAAAATTAGTGCTATCGTTGTCATAGCCTCCGTCTCTTCTGCATGGAATCTTTTAAATATGCCTATTCTTATTCCCGTTTTGTTTTGAAGCCATCTAAAACTTCTTTAATCTAATTAAGAAATTAATATTCGAGAACTAGGAAGTGATTTTAAATCTGTTACGTAAATTTAATTTAATTTTTATTTTACATTGTTTTGTTTGTTCTAACTTTTTTTTTTTTTAAGGGAGAGGAGGGACAATGCTTTTACGCACACTAACTTACTGTGTGTAACTTAATGTTTTTCACTAGTTAAACTGTTTAACAAACTAGGATAAAATACTTGTAGGCTATAAATTATTTTGTCTTAATTTTTTTACAGTTATTTGGCAATGAAAATCTTGGATCTAAAACTAATTCACCAGAACTCACAATTAATGACACCCCAATATTTAAGCATTATATCTGTTTATAAACAAAATTTATTTGAAGTAATGAAACCCAATGTACAATACTAGGCCTGCTCTACTGCAGAATAGTTTGGAAATGAAATAAATAATTAAAACTTTATTTTAAAACTTTTAGTAGGGGGAGTAGATGGCATTGATGGAAATATCTCCGGGGCTGAGGAACCTATCCTTTTCTATTTTCGAGAGGTAGTCCTTGCTATACGCTGTAGATGAAACTACTTAAAATGTGGACTTTTTTGACTGTAACCATTCTCAAAAAACTTAATTTTGCAACCCCTTAAAGCATAAATTGAGCATTTTAATTTTATTTTGATACTAATCAGAGTTATTACATTAAATACTATATAGGCCTAGACAAACTTCAGATCTGTATTTAGACAAAAGATTTTGAAATGATTAATTGCATTTATAGAAAATCGTTTTAACTAGGACTGTGTGTGTCATCGTGGAGTATGTAGTCGGACCTACAGCTAATGAGTTCCCAACTACCTCACGCAAAAGGCACGATTCGAACCGAGGCCTCAGGGACAGAAGTTCTGCTCTCAAATCACTAAACTAACCAAGTCTCTAAGGTGTATTACGTTTTCCCTGATAGTACAGTAGAACCTTGATAACAAGACTCTCATGGGGATTGTAAAATAAGACTTGTTATCAAGGTTGACTTCTTATCGAGGTTTGTAATAACATGTGATTAGGGATAAAATAATTTTAAGGGAATTTGAAAATGATACTTGTTATCAAGGGCGACTTGTTATCGAGGGTCTTCTTATCAAGGTTCCACTGTAGTTGATTATGAGGCTGGCAGTGACCAACATACGTATGTAACATTTAGTGTCAACTGCTAATGATTATGATTGTTTCAGATGGGAACCATGGCTTCACTGAATGCGTCCACCACTCATTCGTTGGCTGGGTCCAGACCTACTACCCCACATAGCACAGTATCAACCCAACCAGTCATGTAAACAAACCATCAAGATCTCACCACGATTACCTGAGTAAGGGTGTCAGTATACCAAGAGAAAACATACTGCTGATATTTTTGCAAGTGAGGAGTGTGGTGAGCAAATGTACTAACAGAATTTTTAAAATTTGTAACTTTTTAATGGTGAAGTCCTTGTGACATGCTTGGATTAAATTTCTACATCTGCTAGATTATCGCACATGTTATTATGAGTTAAAACTCACATATCTTGTGATTTAAGAAAGAAAAATTAGCTAGTACTTACTTTTTAAGCTTGAGAACAATCTTTTGAAAAACAATCATGTATTGAGTTTTAGCATTGACTATTGGATACAGAAGAAGACATCCCATCTATACGGATCAGCTGTCGCCAATTTTTTACTAAAAAAGAATGTAGTTGTGTGAGCCAGTCACAGATTGCACTAGTGTCTAAAACTCTATTTTGTACCTTATTTTTTGTTACTGACAGTTGCTGGGTCATAACAGTTGCTATAGCACATAATAAGTCATTCCATCAGTTTGACTTGGTAAAAACCATCGTGTAATTGGCAGAAATCGATAATTTAGATCAGCGCAATCTGTAGGTGGCTCACATCAACTAAGAACTATTTTATTAAAAACCTGGCTACAACTGTAACATGGGGATGGAATGTCTAGTTGTTGTATTATTAGTCAAAGGTTTTAGTTAAGTAATTTCTGTAAATGTAAAATCTCGAATGTTTTGTCAGTTTATATAAGTTGAACATAAGTTTGAGGAGCTATCGATATCTCATCTTGTATAAAACCATACTTTTAATTTCCCTTGTTAGTGTCATAGTATTACTAATTTTGTATTTTTTTTTACATTTTTGATTTTTTGAATATGATTGTGTGAAGCACATTATAAAGCATATTATTTTCTAAGCTAGTTTTTAGAACAAAAATAGAACAAATTTTGACTGTCCCTTATCATACATACCTATTGTATTTAGTTTTGAAACAAATTTGTATTTATTTGTACATTTCCAGATAGTTGATCAAAGTGTTTGGTAACTCTTAAGCTGTAAAACTAGTTTCCAAGTAATGTGTTGATCACACTTAGCTTATTATTTAGTTTCTGCTTTTTTCTTTTGCTTTGTTTTTTTATATATTTTTATATTTAATACACTTAAGACTACTTTCTGTCAGTTAAACAACTGGCAGCTACAACTAGGCAAATGGTATTGTATTATTTTTACCTATATTATTGCTAGCTTGTTCTCTTAAAGAGTGCATTTTAGGAAATGATGACGTCCACACAAGTATTTTGTGCCTTGTTCCGTCCATTTTTATGTAAAGTATATATAAATATATTTGTAATGTTTACACAAAGTTAATTTTAAAGTATTATTGTTATAGATGTAATTTTGTACAAAGTATTTACGATTCAACAGTTGCACAAATAAACTATGGTACAAAATGAGAGTTTTTCATTTATAATTTTGTTAACCGTTTTAGTCGTAGGCCTATGGGCATTCTCAGGAATCTAGTGTGGTCATTGTAAAACGGGTTAAAATGGTTAAATCCAATGCCTTCTAAAATGAGAGTAGGTTATATGGTCTTGCACATTGATTTTATCGATCCTTCTATAGGTCTATTTATCAACACGGGACCCATTCAACTGTGAAAACCTTAAATCCGTAAATGAGCCATGAATTCCAGGCTGAAACCCAAACTGCTAAGGACAATTCCCAATTCATCAAATTTTTTGACACAGGTTATATTGAGGAGTCGTCCAATTCTCTATACTTTGTGACTTTGGATTCAATACCAATTCTAAAACCTATCCCCCTAAATTACTGCATCATTGTAAATTTTCAATTAGACAAAATTTTCAGACTGCTTTTATCAAGATTCGACACTTCAATATCAGATATGCTTGCTAAAGTTATTAGAATCGAGTAGGAAAAACTAGAATTAAAATTACCCAAAGTTTTGGGCCAACGTCTACATTTTGAATATTCATGAAAATTTTGAATTGAATTTATGAATAATAATTATTTATAAATAAATCATTTTACTTTCCATAAATGTTCTGTGATTAATATAGTGATTCTTCTTAGTCAAACATAACCTCACATTTGTGATTTCTGCCTGCATCTTTGTATTATTTTTCACCTAAGCGGGGAGACAGGCCAAATCAAATAAAATGAAACTTAATTGTCACAAAAACGTTGTACATAGCATGGCTATAGAAAAGGTGACATTGTCAAATTATAATAAATACATAATTGGTCAATCTTAAATTTTTAAAGATGAATATAAAAGTTAAAAATAAAAGACTGACTTTGATTTTAAAAGTATTTTACAACAAATATTCATTAATATGGTAGTAGTTTTTTCTATTAAAAACTTAGACAAATTCTTTTTAAATGTAATTGTATTGCCTATATTTTTAAACCTACTGGTAACTTATTGTACAACCTTTTTCCTATGTATGTTGGTGTCTTCTCAATGAGACGCAGACGGTGGATTGGTAACTGAAAATTATTTAAAAACCTTGTGTTATCTGTGGTCAACTTTCATAAAAAACCTTTCATAATTAGATTGTACCATTACTAATGTTTCGAAAATGTATAAATTTGGAGCAGTTAATATTTTTAATTCTCTAAACAGTGATTTACAAGATTTCCTAAAATATGAGAAAGTCATTACCGTATTCTTAAAAACTTTTTTCTGTAATTTAAATGTTAACTCTAGTTTTGTGGTCAATATAATTACATAGTACTACCATTTGATAACTGGCTGAAATTAGTTTACTGATAATATTATCAATACAGTCACTCCAAGAAAAATTACTATCCAGTTCCAAATCAAGGAATTTTGCACTGTTACTGCACATTTACTATTACACTTTGCCAGTGACGTGACTGGTTGAAGGGCACTGGTTCTTATGGCGCCTATTACACTAGGGTCACCAGTTGCGTCACCAGCCTTTGGTGACTGACCGGTGACTCTGCCCCGTGACCAGACGAGTAACCACTAGTGACCAAGATTTGTCGCTGGGTATTGAATCAAATGGCACATATTACACACAGTCACCGCGGTTGCGTCACCACTGTATATTTGTGTTCTGCAAGTTCAGATTGTTTAATGCCAGTGTAGTGAGTGGACGTAATGTCAGAAAAATATGAAGAAATGCTACTTCTTGCTCTTTTCTTGAGGAAAAGGAGGAGACGAGCAAGGGAAATGCACGTGCACCTGATATTATCTTTAACACGTTCACTGTGCTGTATATTTTCTTGCATTATTCCTATAGTGCGTTACGCGAGCTATAGGTCTCGTCTGCTATAATTACCCAGGTGCGATACGAGACCCCGAGATTACGTTGTGCAGTAATCTTTTGCGCATCAACCTCACAAAGAAAGGCGAGAGAGCGCTGAGTGTTTGTTTATGTAAACAGTACAATGTTGACAATCTTCAGGCAGCCCAGGAAGTGAATCTGACGTCATTAACGAGACCCTGAAATCTCGTACCGCACAGCTGTAATAGTTTATTATTAATTTGTATTTATTCTTTTCCTACAATAACAAATTAAGAAAACATTTATGTTAAACGTTTATTTACGAATTCCTAATAATCGTTACTGTAGTAAAATAAAAATATATATTTTAACTTTCTATTATCACTTTTTATAATAATGTGTTTACTTACAGCTGATTTCAGGCTAAATAAAATACAAATGAAATATGTTTAAAAATTACTGTATTTATTCCGTTATAATTTTGGGGTTGGGCAATGACCTCGAAATGAGTGCGAGCCACAGTGAGTCGAGTGGGTGAGGGGAAGGGGTGGGTGCAACCTTGAAGCATAGAACTGTTTTATCTATGCTTAAAGCTATATTTAGACTTGCACCACTTCCCTAAAGGGCTGGAAAAAGGGGGTTCCAATCGCAAAAGAGTGATACAAAGTTGTTTATCGAAAATTCCTTGTCTGGTCTGACAATTATTTAGCATTGATTTTGTATGATTTAATAGGAACAAGTATAAATATACGAATTACTGCCATGATTTTATTTTTTACATCAAAATACAACATTGCACAAACGTGATATTTTAGGTCATTGACCAATGACCTTTATTACGCATCCGTTAGTGCTGTTTCAGAAGAGATAATTAAAAATAATTTTATGTTCTGGTAGTTGAAAACCATTATTATTTAAGCCTATAAAACATTAGATATAGGCCTAACTCATGAAGATAACAACATAAAAACGCCATTATTCTTTCTCTTTGTTCCTGAATTATTTCTTGGGGTTCCTTCATTCATCTAAGCATTCAACAAAACAAATTGCCATGGTTACTAATCACTCCATTAGCCTATTTTTGATATTTGATCCAGAGGTCTTGTATTGTAATAAAGTAAAAGTTTATTACTTCAGTGCGTTACGCGATCTATTTATCTCGTTTATTTCATGTTTACTAGTTGATACATCAAGAAAAATGCATTGTATATGTACAAGTTTCATTTCCTTACGATAACTGTACGCCGAAATATGGATGTCGTATCTTTAGGAAAGAAGCCAAATTATGGGTCCCACACTACGGGCTAGGTACGATACGAGACCTCGGGATCTCGTAGCGCAGTGAACGTGTTAAGAGAAACAAAAGGATTGTTTTATACCCTTTTTGATGAACTTTTAGCTGACAAAAACAAGTTTTTTAATTACATGAGAATGTTAAAATCATCCTTCTTTGAGATGCTTTCACTAATAAAGGTAGACATTACAAGAACAAATACTAGAATGAGGAAATGTGTTTCACCAGAAGAAAAACTTGTAGTTACTTTAAGGTAAGTAAAAAATGTGTTTTACTTCATTTAAGTATATCAAACCATGATACTGATTTAAAAGACTCAAGAGGTTTTGGATTACAATACATAGCTGCTGAGTTCATTTATATTTTAATATTTATATATATTATAGATTATTTGACTTTGCTGCCTGGCAAAACTTTTATTTGGTTAAAACGTTTCATTATTTTTGCAAAATTATATTAATAATAAATCACCAGGGCCATTGAATAGTAATTTATTCAGTCTTTAAACAATACATTATTGTAATTGACATCGTCATTATTATTGTCAAAAAATATAAGATGCAATACTAATATAATTAATAAAATTATATACATGAAAAAAATCCAAAATATAGGCTGCCTTAGTTTAACATTTAACAGGTTTAAAATAGGCAAACTTAACAAACTTAAATTATGAATGACAGTGGGTCTTTCTTTAAAAAAAGGCTGATGGTTTTCACAGGGCTATAATATTTTAATAAGCATAAACTGTAATAATAATAAGGACGTGTTACTGTCAAAGATAAATATTGTCATTGGTATTAGTAAACATTTTTCCAAACCAAATCTTCTTACAAATTATATTGAAAACATTTAACACCTAAGGTAAAATAATTAATGCCTTTGTGTCATGCCAAAAATTATTTAATTAATGTGTTATAATAACAATAACAATTATGAAAAATATTTAGTACAAGGGCACAAAATTTAATACTGAAATTACAAATAAAACTACCAATCTTACTATTACGATTGAATTAGCTTCAAACAGTAATATTTCACTATCACTCATTTGAGTTTGGAAATCGTCATTGGATACGACAGATGTTCTTCCGGATGATGAAGATTGCATGGTGTCACTAGTGTGTAAAAACACATAATTTATATATACTCATTTAATTATCAAAAAGACTGTATTTTTCTATGTCATTCAAATCATATGTTTTGTTTGTTTATACATTATTTAAAAACAACATTATAATTATTACAGACCACTGTTACCTTCAAATAAACATGTACTAAACATTTTCTCTCTTTTTGTCCTACAATTTAAATCAATTTTACTTTACAACTAGTGTTGTGGCCTTCTACATGGCCTTCGACATTGTTATTATGCTGGTTCACAGATTGCTGACGAAAAGTAAAGTGGTATGTTGGTAACTAATGATAAGTAGGCTGGTTCATAGTAGGATGATAATGCATTGAAGACTGGTTGATGGAATACTGATACATTTGATGGGTAGTAGGAGGTTGTTGTCACGATGGTCCTGGATTATTATTGTATGGACTCTCTGCATTCCATTGTTGTTGCAAAGGGGCTTGAGCAGCAGCAACGAGGGAAATGATATCTCCTCGGAGTTTCAGTTTTCTTTCAACAGGTACTTTTATCATTTCTGATACCATGGAGAGAAGAAACAATTTGTCCTCATTGGTTTCATCAAAAGTTTGAGCTGTTCTTTCTGTGGATAAAACCTTTTTCTTTAGGAATCCAATCAGTTCTTGGTCATTGTTTGGCCGTTTCCTTGATCCCTGTTTAAATTGACGTTTGATTTGTTCACTATCAGCCGGCATTGTATGTTCATTTTCTTCTTCTTCGTCTATGGTTAACCTCTTATTGCCCAAATTATTATACAAATGAGTTAAAAGTTATTTCCTATCGTTTTTATGTTTAATAAGGTTTAATATTAACTAGTAATTTTTTTCAAATTTTTTATTACACGTTGTATACCTTTTTTGGGTACGTGTAAAATTTTACACATCGGGCAGTTAGGGAGTTATCGCATTATAAATAAAATGATTATTTTTCAGGTTATAAAATGTGTTTTACTTGTGACTATTTGTAAAAATACAATGCAAGAAAGCTTATGACTATAAAGATAACTTGTAAAAACAGCTTCCTTCATGTACCAAAGACCACAAACTCTATTATATATGAAAAGTTGAAGTGAAGCAGTTTCTTTCCTTAGTTAGGCAAAGATGTACTTGACATTTTCCACACTTAATTGTACTCTGTCCTTTACATCCAGGTTTCTTGCACCTCTGCCTATCTCCAGTGGCGATTGGCCAGTGACCAATGCCATCTCTTCTCTCGTTGAAGCATGGAATAGGTTTTGCTGGGCCTCGATGCTTCTTTTGTTCATAATCAGCATCCACTCTGTCATACGAAGGGCGTCCTCTTTTTCTCTCACTATCCTTTCCTTCCCTGCATAAAGCACTGAAGATTTCACTTTTGAACTCAAGCAGGTCCACAATATACTTCTTTGGAAGGTTTCTCCTGTGACAATCATTTCTGTACCTCAACCACCCATTCACAATAGCCATGTCAACAAAATGAAAAATAAGTCTCAGGTAGTACTTTTTTGATCTTATTTTTATCCTGTAGTACGCTATCAGCCCATTTAGAAGATCCACTCCTCCCATGAATTTGTTGTATGTCTTTATCATTCTAGGACAAGGCACGTCTACATTTCTTTTTGATGATCTGTCAAATCTTGTAATTTGAGAGACAGGCATTGCACTCTCAAAAGTACTGGCGATTGTTACACCTCGGTTGTCCAACCACTTCAAAGCTCGCACATCCACACCTTCGAAATTTACTTCAACTTCCACCAGAGAACCTCTTCCATTCTGTTTCATTTCACTGTCTGAGGGAAAAGTTAGCCCAGGAAACCTTTCCTTCTGGATTGTTCCTAAAGCTCCGATTCCATCTTGTGCCAAAGTAGTAAATAACCGAAGTGAGGCAAACCAGTTGTCGAAATATACTAAATATCCTTTATGCTTTGGGACAACTTGTGTCATTCTCAAAACAACATTCGAACTCGCACCCAGATCAGGAGCTCCTGTCACAGGTTCAATGTGTCCAGTGTATACTTCGAAATTGTGAACCAAACCTGTGGTATCACAAAGTATAAACAGTTTATAACCCCACTTATAAGGCTTCTTAGGGTTGTATTGTTTCAGTCCCGATTTTCCTTTGAATGGCACAATCTGTTCATCCACACATAGCATCTGTGGCTTTGGTAAGGCTTGAAACTTTGCTTGAAAATGATCGATAAGTGGTCTTACTTTGAATAATTTGTCTCTGTCTGGATGTCCAACTGGTAGAATGTTGGCGTTGTCGTTACAATGAATGTTTCTTTTTATTTCTTCCCATCTGTTTCGTGACATTACTGAGCTGACTTTTTCCACATTCGTATTTTTAGCCCAAAACATTCTTGATCGTGGTAAGCGGTAAATAGACATTCCAACGCAAATCCCCAAAAACTGCTCTAGTTCATTCTTTGACATGTTTAGTGGCTTGTTTGGGTCTTTCTGGACACTGTAAAGGTTGGACTGATTTACCATACTGTCCAAAATGTCTGTGTCAAAAAAATATCTAAAATAATCTATTGGGGTTTGAATTTCCCCTAGTTCAGGTTCGACGTCATCCCATATTACCGGTGGTTTTTCACTTGAGTCTGCGTCAACTTCAATCCATTTTGGAAGATCCTTTTTTTTCGTTTTTCCTTTCGAACCTCTTGCACCTCCTTTGCTTGTTTGTATTTGATGTATTAGATCTTCATTTGTATTTGATCCATTATCCCGATTTAGATTCACACCAGCACCTGAAATTCATTCATGGGAATATAATAAAACTGAATAGGCCTATTATGTACATAGTAATACAGTATGTATAACTATCGTAAACAAGTTTTCATGAGAGATAACCGATCAACGAGACAATTTAGTAATGATTAAAATAAAATATTACCTGAAGTTTTTCTCTGGCAATAGTCATGCTCAGTAGCTCCAGGCATACTGGTGATACGCCGGAGTCCAGTAGTATTACATGTAGCGCCAGATGTCGTGGGCATGTCTGGATCAAATTCGGCTGGATCGTCCGGATTGTCGCCATCATCATCATCTATGAAACGCCTACTACTTAGACCATCAACTATTCGCTGTAGACGATCTGTATTTGCATGTTCAATGGGCTCATAATCGGGATCAGCGTCGCTGTCATCCATGGCACTCTCATCGCTGTCTTCTGGAATAAGGAAGGCTTCCTTCAATCTTCCTGGTGCATTCCGCACAAGTCTTCTTGGCCGATCCATCTAGAAAAGATAAGATGGTATAAGTTTGCGTTTCAATAAACCTTATACATATGTTCTGTAGTTGCCCATAGTGTAATAAACTACACAAACCTTCTGTCAGTCAGAATATCCATTGCTGCCCAATGTGTAAAAAATTACACAAACCAATTTTGGTCGATATTATGTAAATTAGAATATATTAGATCAAAGTTATATGCTAGGTATGATCTACAAACACTATAATGACTAAATTAAATTTTTATTTGGCTAGACTCACCTGTTTTTATGGTCTTTTATATGTTGTAAACAACATAACCTCCAAAAAGTGTCAATAATGGGATGCACCAAATGTGGAAGTGAGCTTGATCACTGAAAAAAGCTCCAGTGCTGCCAACTCAACAAAACTTTTTCACCAGTAGTGTAGAAACATGAAAAAACTGTTTCCATAGAGATACAAAATTAAAAAACAATGTAGTAAATACAATTGTAGAACGTGTAAAAAATTACACAATGGGCAATAAGAGGTTAACATCGTTTCTTTCCTGGTGGTTTCTAAAAAACGGAGTTGTTCAAAAAATATATACTGTTTTTTCCTGGTTGCTGCCGATCCACTTTTGATACCTTTCAAACGAAGAAGTTCCCTTGTATAGCAAGCTCGGATGGACTTCCACTTTCTCTGGATGAGAGTTACTGAAACAAATAAACATGGGCAAGTGGAAGAGATCAAGAATAAAACCAATAAAATGAATTGTTTTGCAGCCATAGGACTTTTTTATGAGAGCGATGACCTAATACAGTAACTGTTTGTTTAGTACGGACTGATGATTTTAAATTAATTAATATTCATCTATATTTTTAGCTGTTGGGCAACGGGAACTTCAATGAAAGATCTACATTACAAATATAGAATAAGCCAACCCGCAATCTCACTGTTTCTAAGACAAGTTTTGGATTCTATCTGGAAAAACGTCAGAGAAATTTGTTTTCCAGAATTTACAAAAGAGTTTTGGCTAAAAACTGTAAGGTACCAAATTTTAAGGGGGGTAAAAAAACGTACTACGAATAAATGGACACCAGAACTTACCCGATTTTTAACCACAATAGCCTACTCCGAGGCCTATGTGTTGGCCATAGCTTGGGCTATGGGCCAAAGAACGTAGGCCTATTTTTATTCACAGTGAAGTACACAAACACATCCACAACTACATATTTATTCATAATAGCACTTCGTTTCACATAATAAAGTTAAACCGGCCGATTTTACAGATATTTAACGCCGCCGACGACATAACCCCAAACTGGTGTTTATTTGTTGACAGACGACAGACGAAACTAGACCAGCTCAACAAGTGAATTCGATCAGCTGTTGTCTAGTAGTACTTGAGTTCGCTTCGCCGCTTGAGCGCGTAAGCCTCGAGCGGGCAGGAACGAAGGATTTTGCTCCAAGACAGGATTATTCTTATTCGTTCGAACGCCGTCTTCGAAGTAACTTCGTCGTTACATTCCCTGTTTGACCGCCGACTAGCTCACACACGACTAGCGACTTACGAATACGACCCTACGATTCGATTACGAAGGTTAGCTAACACACCAGTTAGGCTCCTTTTTACGTTTCACGTTATTTTTGTTTTATCTTTATTACACGCATACTTAACTTATTTTACTTTTTCGTTTTCTCATATTACCGATTCGAATTATCTAAATTTAATATCGTAACTTGAGTCTTGACCCGCCAGTTCCTGCCTGCCAGTGACTAGCGGTGGCGATCGTTTATTTTATTTTAATTAACTAGTTTCGAAATTACGATTTCTCCGTTCGCTTAACAAATAATTATCACGTCCAAATTATACCTCGTTTTCACCGTTTTAATACCCCGAGACTTGTCGTCTAAGTTCTAAACCCCGTCTTTGGCGGGTGAAAGAATCAAGTCTTGGGAGCAGCTGATTTGAACAATCAAACAGCTACGTAAATTAATATTAAATCTATTTTAAACAACATCACGATAAATTCTCCGTCCAATTATATTAATTAGGCCCCGACGACTCTGTAGGAATTGTTTTACATTATATTCGATCTTATATTATTTACCTAGGCCTTTAGCTAATTATTTTAAAGTTCATTACGAGCAATTGAATCACATTGGCTTCAGATTGAATACTCGTCGGCCCTACAGAGTCATTCTAAAAGTTAGGCAAAATTCTCCAAAACACTTTTACGAAGGCTGGGATGATATAGCTCCAACTGGGCGTCTGCAGGATTTCCTGAGCGCTTCTAGAGCTCTGAGCCTTCGATTAAATTTAAATAAATTGATCAGTCAAAGCCGTGACACCTTCGTATCGACCCCTGGATTTTTCTCGGCTCCTTCTGAGCACTCCGGGGAAGAAATTTGAGTTTGGCCGGTTCTAGGGGTAGGCCTAGCCTGACTTGGTGAATTCTAGTTTATTCCCCCCCTAGAATTTTGCGTCACAAAACAGCAGCTGATTTTTATGAGAAAACAAACTTTCCACATTGCATAGGAGCCATAGATGGAAAGCAAGTTAGAATAACCAAGCCGATAGGACGTGGATCGTTGTACTAAAACTATAAACACTTTTTCTCAATTTTGCTGCTTGCTATGTAAGATGTGAATTATAAATTAATTTTTGTGGATGTAGGTGCTTATGGAAAGTCATCCGATTCTACTATATTCAAGGACAGTACCTTCAAAAAGAAACTCATTGATGGCTCTTTAAATATCCCTGAAGCTCAATTGTCTTATCAGGGTTTCCATGAGCCAATGCCCTATGTGATTATTGGGGATGAAGGTTTCGGGCTATCGGCCAAATTGCTAAGACCTTATTCAGGAAAATGTTTGAATGTTAAGAAACGTGTCTACAACTACCGACTCAGCAGTGCCCGGAGGAACATTGAGTGTACATTTGGAATCATGACAAACAAGTGGAGAATTTTTCATCGGCCGTTAGATGTAGACCTTCCATTGTGTGAGAGCATTATTAGAGTCTGCTGTTTATTACATAATTTTGTCAGAGAACGTGATGGATCCAAAGTTGAAGACACATTATCAATCGATGGTTTGTATGATATTGGAGTGACGACTGTCAAGCATCGACTAAAAAGGCAACACAGCTTAGGGACATGTTCTGTGACTATTTCGTCAGTGAAGAAGGATCCGTACCTTGGCAAATGGAAAGAATTTAGTGAACAATCTTAAAACAAGGTGTTATAAGTCAGATACTGGATTATGACCTCCAAGGACAGGACTATTTATTTTTGTTTATTGCAAATTTGTATAGGTAGCATAGAAATTCCTTTGTTTTCAGAACTCTACAATTTTTCAGAACAAAATTTTCAAATCCTATAGCGTGTTTGTGTGTTATGGATATTTATATGTTTTTGAATATAAAGACCTGTATTTTACACCAATAATGTAATTTTTCTAGCCTCCATGTCACCTAGATTGATTTTACATTTTTACATGGATTTTAAGTATGCAATTTAAGGCCTACTAATAAACACACTTATGTGCTGAAAATACAAGTATACTCGTGACACTTAAATTGCCGCTAATGGTAGTTCTCGAAGACTTGGCTGGCGACGCTAGCGCTTCCTACTTTGGGTACTGCCGCTGGCGGAAATCTTCGTAGCGTCGTCTAATTTAATATAGTGGTTTTGCTTGTTATAAGGTTCTGTATTCATTGGTACCACGACATGTGTGTGTTGCATATTGTTGCGCGTGATGGCAAGCGCCAGAGTGGCGCGGAGCGGGGTCGCGCGTCACTTCCGGTAGGTTGTCGGTAAACATCAAAGGCGCAGGTCGGAGCGAGGACCACCTTGGGCCAGTCTGGGACGTTTTTCTACTGGGTAAACATGTGCCTCGTTAAGCTGTCAGTTATTCAATTTTAACTTAAAATATTCACCACTCAACAATAAATAACAAGTTGCAGTACACGCATCACTCATCGTTAAATCACACAGCTCGGTACAAATACAGTATAGCATGACGAGACATACTGTTTTTACTTTCTCCCCCTGTACCATAGTATATGGAGAAAGTATTGTTTTCGTCAAAATTTTCGAGTTTGAGTTTTGAGTGGATATATTCGTTTTGGGCCCCCCTGGACCCAAAAAAGTGGTTTTCGAAGTGATGTCTGTGTGTGTGTGTGTGTGTGTCTGTGTGTGTGTCTGTGTGTCTGGATGTGTACAGAGCTAGAGACTACACCTGTGGTCCGATTTCGATGAAATTTAGTATGTAGGTTCTAATCCATGGTATCTCCAGGCGTTTTTTTCATTTTTTTGAAATTTTGATTTTTAATGGGGATTTTCCCATAAAAATCCATAAAAAACCAAAAAAATCGGATTTTCTCAAAAATGGCCCGAACGATTTTTATAAAAAATTAGTATGTTGTATCCCTTTAAATTCTGAACAAAATGGTACAAATCCCATTTCTGTAAAAATTACGGTTCAAAAGTTATTGTAAATTATGTTATTTTCCCATAAAAAACTCCATAAAATAACGGAAAATCAGCTTTTCAGAAAATTGGCTTGAACGATTTTGATAAAAATTTATTATGTTATAATCCTTTAAATTCTGAAGAAAATTGTACAAATCCCATTTCCGTATATTTACTCTCACCGCTTACACATGATAAAGGTTGTTGACAAACTTATGGGAGAAAGTATGTGTCAGAATGCTGATACCGTTTATTTAAATAGATGCTAGTAGCAATCGGCCAAGTGCCAGCTTAGATGTCACGAGCCTACTTATATTTTCAATAAGAGCATTTACAGTACCCTTGTGATTATACCTTAGGACTCCTAAACAAATTAGTATTGTAGTTGAATTGAGTTACTTACTTAGAGTATTCTTTTCAGCCAAGGGTCGTTCATCAAAATCCTGAATGAAAGAAGTCATGATCTCGTTCCATGCATTCAACTTGACATGTTTATTGCTATAATCATCGGAACTTACATCCCAAATCGAGGGATGGCCTTCAACAGCACAAATAAAATCTTCAGTGTTCACTTTTTGGCCCAATAGCAACTCACATTTTTTCGTATTATCAACTTGTTTGCTTCCTTTCCCTGTGACATCACTTCCACAAATTTTGTCTCCGACAACCATCACACTAGACTGGGACTTTTTAACACAATCCTCCTGGTTTTTCCCATTCTTGGTATCTTTTTCACCACTACATTTTACACTAGACTGGCTTCCTTTCACTGAGTCGTCTTCTCTTTTTCCTTTCCCTGCATCTCTTCCCCGCTTATTCACTAATATTTGATCACTGGACATTTTTTAAACTGAAGAGTAATAACTGAAATAGCTATATAACTTAACTATAACTATATAACTTAAACTGGAGAGTAATTTATAGAACAGAAGACGTGGATTAACAGAGCACAAGTCATTCAACGAGGTGACAGCGCTGAATGTCTGTAGACACTGGAGTGGAGGCTGCCTGTACAGTAACCGGTGACGTCACTAGTGACGCCACCGGTGACGTCGCCTGGTGACCAAGTGTAATATGGCCTTTGTGGTATCAACTGATTCTGAAAGATGATTTCTGAATTGTAACCTTCTTTAGACTGTGCAGTACGGAAATTTAATAGTTGAGCTTTATCTTGATTAAGTTTTAGTCCATTAGCTTAAAACCAGCTTGCCAATTCAAATAAAGTTTGATTAATTTTAAACTCCCAATTCATTATGAGACCTGGCTTTGATAACTGCAGTTGTATCGTCTGTATACTGTATAAGATAATTTTTGATGAAACATTTCTAGGTAAATAATTTATATAGAGTAAAAAGAGCAAAGGTCCTAAGTTAGACCCTTATTTGTGGAACACCCATTTTAATGTTTTCCCAAGAAGACTTTGATTTTAAATAATTTTTCAAAATTACAATTCTTTGAAACCGGATTTCTAAGTATAATTTTAATCCATGTAATTGATTGTTTTGAAAATTGGTACCACATCAAGCTTTTTTAAAAGTATGCTGTGGTTAACACAAAGACCTTGGAAAGGTCACAGAAGACCCCCATGGTATTTTGTGACCCATCCAAAGCCCAAGATACTTCGTTAACAAGATTATTTATTGCCCCTACTGTACTGTGATCCTTTCTAAATCCAAATTGCTCAGAACCCAGAATTGAATGTGCTTCTAAAAATGTTGAAATTTGATTTAGAGCTATCTTTTCAAACATTTTGAAAAAGGAAGGAAGAACCGAAATGGGACGATAATTGTCTGGATTTTGTTTTTGTCCTTTCTTGAACAGAGGCTTTACTTCTGCATATTTTAAATTTTCAGGAAAAACAGACATTTTGAAAGATTGATTTATTAAAACAGATATAGGGACAGCAATCGAGTGCATTACTTTTTTCATAATGTCTAATATTATTACATCCCATCCTGCTGATTTTTATATTTTTATTTTTTTAAATTTTTACTATTTTTATAACATCATCTGCAGTCACATTTGTGAAACCAAACTTTACCTGATTTAAATTAAAGTCAGTCTGAGTTAAGATTAATGCTTCCTGCTCACAAGCCTTGTTTGGTAAGGATTTCTCTCGAGTGAGGCAATTGCTCACTAGTTGCACAAATAACTATAAAACATTAATAAAAATCTGTTTGTAATTTTTAACATAATTAATAAAATTTATATCGTTTGACTGCTTTGCTAATATACTTAACTCTCTCTTCTTAAAACTTGATATTTTTCCTTTTCTTAGAATTTTTTTTTTAGTTAAGGGTAAGGCTTAAAATAATAAGAAATGGATAACAAATGGTTACTCCAGTGGCGGATCTAGAACAGTCACAAGGGGGGGGGGGCGAACGAGGGGGTGGGGGTATCCCCCCAAAAAAAATTGTGTAGACTAAGTCTCCAAAATGGCAGTTTATACCATTTATTTGTCCAAAGTTAGTTTGACAAATTATTTTACGCAATGTGTATGCACTACTGTATTACATGCAGTAAAAAGTATATGTATATGTATGCCTGAGGGGGGGCGGTCACCCCCTTCGCCCCCCCTCTGGATCCGCCACTGCTTTACTCATTTGTTATCCATTTCTTATTATTTTAAGCCTTACCCTTACTAAAAAAATTTCAAAGGAAAGGATTCATCAAAAATTCGTTAAAATCTACAAAAAAGTTTAAACAATTTTTGTTGAAAGTTTTATCAAAGTGAAACTTGCCAATTTGTAACATTGATTTTTTAAATAAATTAATTAATATTTTAACCTATATAATTAATACGCTACATGAAACTTTGTCGGTTGAACTCCTCCGCCATTTCTTAACCGATTTTAACTATTGACGTCTCATTAAAAAGAGCGTGTGGCATAGATTTGCAAACTGGCCTTACATTTTTGAAAAAATCCCTTGGGCCCTGCCCCAGTGGCTTTTAAAGTTCCCATGTTATCTTTATGAAGAACATAATTGTTTACATTTTGATCAGCTGTATAATTTAATTGCTGTTATTTATTTTTAAATTCAATGAAACGCATTAGGTACATTTACTGATTGTGTTGAAATAAAATATTTACTATTTTAATTTACATTTGTTCATATTACGATGTAAAAAATCGAGAAAGCTTGGGCATTTTGATATATTTTACCAAATAAGAAAAGTAAATTGACAGGGTACTGTAATTCTTGAGTAGGCCTAATCATTGAAAGAACAGATTTGTTAACCATGTAAACATAGGAAAGTAGCAGAACGCCACCAAGTAGAAGAAATAAAGATTTTAAAAAATACTATCATTATCATTCTATATTATGACGTACACCTACAAATATGATTCTTCTTAGTTAATCTCAAACCTTTCCATTTTGATTCATTGTGTTTTACAACTACAACATACTTAAAACGATGTAATTTGTTTAATAGTAGGGGAATTTCTTGTTGGCAAAATGTTTTGTGTTTTATATTATTTGCTTGGCACCATTTGTTGTAAGACATCTTTGTTATGTATACAAATAGGAAAATAAAACATGTTTTCCGACAAAATTTTATTTCACTGAAATGATATAAAACAGGGGTTTTCCTTTATTACCGTCATATAATTAATTGTAGTTCGAAAGAAAATATTTTTATTAATAGGATACTAATTAATTATTAAAATATTTCACATAAATATGTAAAAACTTAAACTACTTAAATCCAAGATCAGATTCAAACAATACAAATTAATACTATAGATTTGCTTTAACAGGCTTATCTCCTGTGAGAACAAATAATTGCAATGCATCATCATCATCATGCTAATCATCATAATTTCAATGGAACCAAAATAAAATAATAAATAAATGAGTACCCATTCCAATGCCATGCAAACATCATCACAATAAAGTAAAAAATAGTAGTTAACGCAACAATTGCATAATAGTAGTTTATGCAACGATTGCGTAAAGTTAGTGTTAACGACACAAGTAACTTCTACGTCGTTAACACTATTTACACGAGTTGCGTACACTACTTTACCTACGACAGGGTTTTAATTACTAAAAATCACTACTCATAACTTCTAAGAGAGGTTATGTTTTCGTTTATAACCTCTCATTGCCACTGGCAGTGATGCAACAAAACATTGAACCAAACACTAATTGCACCACTCAATAAAAATTAAATTGGTCTCAACAGCTGATAAGTTGACGTTTGAAACAATTTTACTTATTTTCTATCAATCCTTGAACCTCATTGGTTCGTTACCATTGTTGTGAAGTAAAAATACAATGCTATAAAGTAAGTAAACAATGCTGTAAAATGAATATTTTCTGCAAACTACTATAAACAACTGAGACATTTAATTATTATTGCATTTATTCTCCAAACATCCAAGATGTAAGTTTAAACATAAAACTGAAATTTACATCATCATACAGTAGTGATGGAATCTGACCTTGATTACTGACTGTCAATGTAATGATTTCAATTGGTAAATCTAATAAAAATATATGTAAAATAGCATTCAATTCTGTAAAAAACCTTAATATACGTAAAATAAAAACCTTGTTGGTTACAAAATAACAGAATTTGTATTGAAAACACTTACTATACTACAAGTTAAAAACAAAGAAATTTACAACCCTAGACATTCAATTACTCTTTGGGAACCATTTCTCAACTACATATACATTAACTTATGTACACAAACATTTTTTTCAAGTAAGACTAATGAAAAATAATCATTCGAAACATTAACTAATGATCTGATCTTTACAAATAACAAGTACTAATGTAACATGACAACTTAAAATGCAATTACAAATTTTAGGATTTGTGCTTGGTAGATAAAGTAGAGATTCTGTTAGGGAAAATATAATGGAATATTGTACTATGCATTTATTTACAGTTAAATACCCCCATCAAAGCAAAGCTTTTAATTATGTGAATTTCCAAAAGAAATATAAAAAATTAACGGCTCTGGTAATTTTTTATCAGAGTGTTAGACATAAGAAATTAATTATTTGAATTTAATCACAATAACAAAACTTCTTAAACAGCGTTTATTTAGCAGTAAACAGGGGTGAGTCAGTGGCTCAGCCAGAAAGTGCATCGGACCACAAACCAATGACAGCGATTTTGATTAAAATTTTGTATGTTATCGCCCTTTTAACTCTAAATGAAATGGCACACACTCCATTGCTGTTAAATGTACAGTTCAAAAGTTATTGCGACTTTCATGATTTCCCCCATGATATATCAAAGTTACTCCCACCACTTTCAAACGATAAGGGTTGTTGACAATCTAATGGGAGAAAGTATGTGTCAGATTGCTAAAATGTTGTAGTTTGCTTGTTTATGGATATATTTTGATCAAACTTAGCAAATGTTTCTATTTTATATTAAGCTGTTAATATTTTACTAAAAACAACACTTCATTAGTTTCCTTGTAGCAGCAAACCTAGGTACTCTTTAAACCTAACGTTATTTAATTGAATTGATTTAATTGAAAATAAATTCATACAAATGGAAATTTGCTTAGTCGGAAGGTTTGCTGCAGCAGGGGTATTTCACATTACTTCAGGCTAGACCTAGGGGTTGCAGCATTATCACTTAGATAAAATCCATTTGTGATTTGGCAGGATTTGAACCCAGGACCTCTTGGACCGAAGTCCTACGCTCTAACCACTAGACCAGCTCGCTCCCCCTATTTTCTTCCATTGGCTTGAATGAATATAATGATACAGCGTGATCTTGATAAAGTAAATGTCACATTTAGCACAAATTACCCAAAATCTGATAAATTTAAAATTGACAGGGTGTTTGGTAAGTCAGTTTCAAAACTTTAGGGCATTATTATGTGTGCAAATTGCATTAAAAAGACACCATTTTGATAGCCATACAGGGTGGCTGAAAAGTAACTTGCACCCCCCTTAACTGTTCAACCATTTGAGATATTTGAAATCGGTTTGCGGCAACCTTCTTAGATATGAGGGGCTACAATAATTATGGTTAGTTTTGAAAATTTTGCCCTTAGGGGTAGCGGGGGTAGGGGGTAGCTCAAAATTTTTTAAATGGCAAGTATAGTTGAGTCAGGTATCATTTCACAGGTCTTGACAAAACTAAACAATTGAAATAAAGAAAACTAAAATCAGACCACTAATAACTAGGGATGGACGGGTCTCGAAATTTCGGGAAATTTTAAATCTTGTTCTACAAGACAAGATTCTATTTCGGTCGAGATTAAAATATTGCTTCAATTGTTTTATAATTTTTTTGACATAGCAAATGATGAGAAGTTTTGTTAGTTTAAGCAGTGTGAGACATGTTTTACTACTGTAAACATAGCCAAAATAAGTCACTCCAAAATCATTCTAAAAATAACACAAGACTTAAAAATTGTTACTTGATACTTAACTACTGTTAATACTGTTGTTTTAGACTTATAAATTTGATATTTTTCAAAGTTGAACTATATACTAACTGATATCTCCATGTTTCCCATGTTGAAGAGTTATTTTTAATAAGTTAAGCCTTATTAATATTTTTTTATATATACTGATGTTATTAATGATTTTTAATAAAACATTTTAAATATGTTTGTCTATTATTATTATTTTTTTATTTAACTAGTCTGTCTTAAATCAGTAGGTATTTAAAAATGTTTAAAAAATCAGGTTAAAATGTGGAACGTGCATTTCCCGTTATGTATGAGAAGGGAAATCCCGTCTTGATCCCGTCTCGAAATTTTATGAGAAATAAAAAATCCCGTCTCGTCTCGTCTTGTCTCGAACTAAAAATCCAATCTCGTCCATCCCTACTAATAACAAAATGGCACCCTAAAACGTTTCAAATCCAAATAACCATGAGGGTGGCTGAAAATTAACTTGCACCCCCCTTAACTTTCAAACCTTTTGATATATTTGAAATCAGTTTGCGGCAACCTGTTTAGATATGAGGGGCTACAATAATGATGGTTTATTTTGAAAATTTTGCCCTTAGGAGGAGGGGGTAGCTCAAAATTGTCAAATAGGAAGAATGGTTGAGTTTGGTATCATTTTACAGGTCTTGACAAAACTAAACAATAAACATAAAGAAAATAGAAATCGGACAACTAATAACAAAATGGCAGCTAAAATTATTAAGACAATGGTTATTGGAAGTAATTTTTAAATGCCATTTTGGTCCGATTTCTATTTTATTTGTGATAATTGTTTAGTATATACTGTATATCTCGTTGCTACTACTGGCAGCCATTTTAGCGTATGTCTCAATGGGTAAGTAGCTATTACCGTAGGTGGAACGGTAAGACATAGGCCCAGGACCAATTTACCTTTCATTTTGATAACAAGGCCTAATAAAATCTCATTATTCTTAATTTTTAACTAACATCGTTATGATATTTATCAATGCCTTTTTTTTAGAAACTGCATTAAATATTCTATTAGAAAACATATAGTTTGTTATAGCCAAATCCATAAAAAACCTTGTAAATTAAAATTTCACAATTTTTTTTGCTTGATTAACGAATTTGGAAAAATCAATGAAAATGTTGCCAAAAGTTTTTTAAGAAAATTTGTTTATACTTCAGATTGAAAACTGCCAAATAGTGTAAAAATAAAAAAACTTTTATTTATAAAATACTCTACTTTTATTTTACCTAGTATTCAATAAACTATGAATAGTTTTAGCTGTAGGCTACTCAAATATTACAGCCAACTTTGCACACTACTTTCACTAATTTAATGCTTTCTTGTAATTAATGGCAATCAGTGAAAAAATAATGAATTTTATTTTTAACGCAATATGCCTCCACTTAGGCAGACATAAAATATGACATGCTTTATACCATTATAAAGCTTGAAATGCAAACAGTTTTTTAAAACTTTTGCAGTTTTTAACACAAAGTTAAAAACAACTAAAATTCCGGGATCAAATTCTTGAGCAAGCTAAGGGGCCATTTGTATTGGTTTTCCAAATTTGTTATTCAAGTCGAATTTACAAGGTTTTTTATGGGTTTGGATGTAACACAATATACGTTTTGTGATGGAATACTTAAGGCAGTTTCTAAAAAAGTCATTGATAATATCATTATGTTGGATAAAATTTTAGGGGAAAGAGTTTGTGTTAAGCATAAAATTTTCCATCCATAGTTACTGGGCACAAACTATGATAAAATTAACGGATTTGGTTAAATTTTACATCGAAGGTATTTCATGACTGCTACCTTGAAATGTAATATATTTGCTATAGCAGTGGTAAAGGTTCACATTTGAAGTTCTTATCCTATGTAGAGACTGAGTAACGTTATAATAATACCACTTAAACTCAGTCTGTAGACATATAAGGGTTTTTGACAAGCTAAAGGGAACATACTTTCTCCCAGTTTGTTGGAACCATTTACTTTTACATTGAATAAACCTTCCATGTGCTATTTCCAATTCGAGCATTAGGTGTATTCAGTAAAACGCCCTTTTCACCATGACTTAGGGGTGTTTGTGCTATCCTAGCAATAATGGGAGTTTTTAAATGGCAGCAATCCAGAATTTTAAATAGCCCTGTACTGCTGATGTCCCAAACATGCCCGATTAGCGAGTTTCAAATGTACTACTATACAAATCTGCAACTAATGAGAGGAAACAAGTAGTAGATTGTTCGTCGGCCAAATGTTTAGGTACCACTTGGGATCTTGTAGCTCGTAGTTATTGTGCGATTATTTTTATCTTCAAACATTTATAATTCAACATGGCCGAGGACAGGAAAGCGGGAGAAACTGAACACATCAACCTGAAAGTCATGGGACAAGATAATGCCATCGTGCAATTTAAAATTTAAAAACACTCCGCTATGTAAACTGATAAATGCCTACAGTGATCGAGCGGGGCTAGCCATGGCAGCTGTCAGATTCCGCTTTGTTGGCCAAGCAATAAACAAGAGTTACACCCCCCTTACCCTAGAGATGGAGGAAGGGGATACTATAGAAGTTTACCAACAACAGATTGGCGGCCAGAACTGTAAAACGACGGTGTAGTTCCCTGTGATGTGGTGAATTTATAAACACTGTGTGACGCGTTACACAACGCTCATAACATTTCAGTTATTCATTTCTGAAAAGACTATGTATTTAATTTTCACATGACGTATTGTTTTATATAATTTAAAAATGACACTAAAGGATTTACCCACACAGATAGGTACAAAAATCCAAATTAAGAAGAAAATTCATTGGTGTATAGTTAAGGTCTAAATACATGCTTATATATTTACAATCCATTCCTTAATAGTTGTAAGCCACAATGAGAGGAGACGGATGCAAATGTGAACATAAATGTTTCCGTGGAGCCAAACAAAAACCTTCACTTGTTTAACCACTTAAAATATTTTTTAAAATTAGTATAGAATAAACTATCACTATGAAAACAGAAAAAAACACATATTTACTTTATAAGTTTGTACACACGATAATAAATGTAAATGATTATCCCTAGTAAATAATTTAAACGAAAAATATCATAATAAAAAAGGAACCTCAGACAAATTTTATAACCTGAGACCAAATCAGTAACATTATCAAACAAAAACCTCAAAAATCAAAGATACCTAATACATAGACAATAAATATAATTACATGAATATGCTGATATAATAAAAAATATTACAGACATATATTTACACCAAAAAATTAGGGATCAAGGCAGGTGTTAACACTTTTATAATGACTAGGATTTCTAAAGAGCCAGATAAAAATATAACGGCTATAAATGCTAAAGGACTCACCCTTGTAAAGTTGACTGATGGAAATTACAAGTTGATTAATCCAATGTTTCTATTGTTAAGTCTGTAAAATTTAAATATCTTAAAAATATATATAATTTTAATATTAACAAATATATATAACAATTTAAAAATATTTTAAATTAAAAAAAGTATAAATTGAAATTAAAATTATATTAAAATCAGCTTTTTAAGCTTATTTCCTTTGGGAAATTTGCTAAAACTCATCTTAATTAAAATCTGTAGCCTGTTTACAACAATTATCTTTGGACCTTTTTCCGCCCAAATATAACATCTGCATCTGGGGCTCCCTTGGGATGCTGATATTTGTGTCTCCTCTCTCGGTTTAGGTTGACCATAGCTGGTTTTTGATTCTGTAAATTAAAAACAAAAATTAATTTATTACCGTATGGTTTTGCAATATAATACTCTCGAGAGACAAACTGGTTTCAAATAAACTCCAAGTGTGCCACAAAAACACTATTTTTATATTGACCAAACATTCTTTGTCAATGTGAAAGTCCTAAACACCAAGTTGAGTCAGGGACCAGATTTGTCAGTACAGTAGAGTCCCGTTAGTCCGAAATGGTTGGGACCGGGCCCATTTCGGATTACCGAATATTTCGGATTAAAAGTTTTTTTTGTTTTTTTTACTTTTTTAAAATTTTTGAAATTTTTTTTTACTTTTTTGAAATTTTTGAAATTTTTTTTTATTTTTTGAAATTTTTTGGGATTGTTTTTTAGATTACTTAGACCTAGTGGCTGCAGCATTATCACTTCATAAAATCCATTTGTGATTTGGGGGGATTGGAACCTTGGACGAAAATAAAAAATGTTAATAACAAAAATTGTGAAATATTTACTAAAATACTCAACAAAAAAGTCTATCTTTCCCGGCCGCTACAGAATACTTTGACGAGGTACAGCTAACTGTGTTAAAAGTTTAATAAACAAAAATTAAAAAAAAAATCCTAAAAAATTTCAAAAGTTTTCAAAAAAATTTCAAAAGTTAAAAAAAAATCAAAATATTTTAAAATTTTTTTTTAAAAATTCAAAAAATTTTTTTAAATTTATTTTTTGGTTTCGGATTAAGCGGACTTTCGGATTACCGAAGTTCGGATTATCGGGACTCCACTGTATATAGACAACTATACACAAAACTCATGTGTTACAAACCTGTTTTGTTAAGGTATGTAAGACCAAATTGGATAAGTGTGAAAGAATTGAATCTTACATCCATTACTCCCCTCATTTAGTTGAAATTGCTGACAATGAAACGATCAGAATTTATCAATGGTAGTTAGATTACTATATACAAAAATGTCTAGTTTTTTTAAAGTCTGATTAGTGTATGGAAATTTTGGATTTAGGATCTTTGCCAAAATGGACTTGTAGCGACTCGTTACAAGACAATAGTGCAAGTCACGTGAGACAGCTAGGTGCGCGCGCAGCTACGGCGAGCCGGCAAGAGTAGAGTACCTGAGTAGTGTCTTGCGTGGCCCCAGCAACAGTCAACTAGCCCGGATAAGTACTAGCATAAGACTATGTCTAGATAGGTTCGTAGGGGTTGGGGAAGGGTGTAGGTTAGGGTAGATAATAATTAATTATGTGATTTGTTAGGTTCACCAATGGCCGTGGTCTGGTAATCAATATCCCAAATTTAGAATTCACATTTGCTAAATCTAGTTACTTTTCAAGAATCAGAATAAGTCCAGATATATATTTATTTCACTGTTCACTATATTATAATTAGATATATTAAATAACATAAAAGCTGGCTGTGATATGCAGCTAAGGTAATATTGTGCACTTTGAAGAGGTAGTTAGCTTCCTTCCAGTAGAGTTGAACGACAGGAAATGTGCGTGATTTGGAAGTGGTGAGAGGAAGGTATATAGGGCCCAGGTATCTTCATTTACACTCATACCACTCCACATCACTACAGACTACTCAGAAGGATTCACACAAAGACAATGGCAAAAATCGTTTAGCTGTCATTAACGGCTCAAGCTACATAGTAACTACATTAATGTTGGTAAAGAGCTATAACAAGCAAAGACTTTAGATTTAACTTTTTAATATTGATGAGGAAGTAGCATCTTAAAAATTTTACTGAAATGATTCACCATCACGATCCACCATCACAAGAAGACAAAAAAACTCAAATTTATTTAAATTTCACTGCACTTCCTGGATGATTGAAGATATTATAATTAGTTCAATCTAACTGAACACCTTTGAAAACATGTAAAATACAGTGAAACCTCGATAACATGTCGACCTTGATAACAACAAGTCATATTTAACAGTCCCCATGAGAGTCTTGGTATCGAGGTTCTACTGTATTGAGATATTTGGTTATGCGACAGCAAAATATGATAAAAAAATAAATGTTTCATCAAAGAACATAGAATCTTACCTGACACAATTGATCCTGGTAATCCTCCTCCTCCAGACGATCGTTTATGTCGAGAGTTAGCCTCTTGACTTTTTCCATCTCTACTCTTTCCGCCTGGTAAACAAATTTGTTTAAATATGTAAAACTACCCTAGGGTGTTAGTGTTATCAGTATTAAACTATGTTGTTAGGTCTGTTCAACAATTGAGAAGTCTTCCTGGTCATGAGAAAACATTATTGATCGCGGGTGTCAAATCTAGTGTTGGTCAGGTCTAGACAGTCTGGTGTGACACTCATAATCTTGGTAGGTGAGGTTCACATAATATAAACATTAGATGGCTAAAGTGAAATTTGACAGGATGGGTAGACTCTTTGTAGGTTTAATCTTTAATCAAGAATATTCTTACTTTTCACTTATCTTAACTGTGTGGGTTTGTGTGCACGTCCAATGTCCATTAAAAACCTTTCTATGTGAATTTTTATTTATCTGTTGTCTTGTATTCTATATAAGATAAAGGAAAACATGATACGAAAATATACATGAAATCAGTGAATAATCTCTGGGAGTTGATCGTTTAGACCTCTATGTTTATCATGTTGTTAAAACCCTATTACAGCTCCCTAATTCTTAGGCAAGACTTTGAATTAAGTTCTAGGTATTTTATATGAAAGAATTATTTTGATCAATTATACCTTCTCTTGTGATCTCAGGTTAAGAGCCAGTTCAGAGTCAGTAGGCACAGCAACACTCTTGTATTGTTGTTTGTTCCCTTTCCTCAACATTAGAACAAAATTGACTGTTCCTTTTTCTTCCGTTTCCGGATCTTGAAGTTGTTCTGTTAAAAACATTGTTTTGGTAAAAAAATTAAAAAGGAACAATTTCTCTACTGCTGTAGCACAAACACTATATTTGGTAATCAATATGGATTCACTAAGATAATGATTTATATTCTCCTTCTACCAGTTGCACTATCCCTAAAATTCTATAGACAGAACAAGTATAGCTATTCTAAATATGAAATCAACACAGTTAATGTAATTAATGTTGTGAAGAAATCTCCAATACAGAAATAGACACACAACATATCTATTTTTTTACTTTATATTAGGGATGTGTCGATTCTCTGTACCGATTCTCGATACCATCTATACTTAACGACATTGGTATTGGTATCAAGATTTGATCGTCAAAAGTTGATACCAATATCTATACCCGACATGTCTGTAAGATCGCGTGATCGTTATATTACCGCGATTGTTGACAATGATAACGTTTCCGTAACCGTGAGAGACAACGATAATGTCTACACGCCGCGGTAGATGATCAGAATTGTGCGGCAATCGCAGGAGACAATGATGATGTCTACACGGCCGCAGGAGATAATCAGAATCTTCCCGATGATGTCTATACGACTGCGGGATATTTTCATGATTTTACCACGATCTCAATATAGGATGACGATGTTTCTGTTTCTGCAGGCAACAGTGATGACGTTTCTGTTACTGAGGGAGATATTCAAGATTTTGCAATGAATGCGGAAGAGGATGATGATGTCTCCACAACCAAAAAATCTCAGACTGGCACACATCTAGTTATAATTGGTTGGTGTAATATAACCATAACCAATCCATACAGAAAATGTGATACTTTTTTATGGTATCGGTATCGAGAATTGAGAATCAATTTTTCAGGTATCTTGGTATCGGGAATCGATAAATTTCAGTAACAACACATCACTACTCACTTACTTTATAGAAAGAACTACAGCTTGAGGGGAGCACTGAACCAATCACAACTTATGGTGAAGGTTACACAACAGTAACCCAATACTACATTCATAGGTGAATAGCAGGATTTGATCCTAGACCTACAGGACAGAAGTTACGTGCTCTAATACAAGAAACGCTGCACCCTATACTCCTTCAGCACTGTATAAAAATGGTCCTTTTTGTAACAATAATTAATAATTTGATTTCAAGATCAAGTTAGCAATTATAGAACAAACACATACCATAGGTCTTTTTTGCATTTGTTTTCACATGTAGAGGAACGGGAATATCAACATGCTGGGGTTTGACATTGTCTCTCATTCGATCTTGAAGGTTATCTGAAACCATTTTGTCGAACGCTGCGAGGAAATCATCATCTTCAGGACTATGGCTTCTTGAGTTCTGCAATGAAAAAAATTATAGAATTAGACATAACAGTGTGTTTCCAAGTTAAAAAGTGTGTATAAACTGCCAAAAATATTGAATAGACTACAATTAAATGGTGAGTGTTGCACGACGTCTAATGATATAGGCTTAAATCAGCGTCACAACATTCAAAATATAATTTTTGAGCTGTCTCATGTGTTCAATATACACTATTCGACTGTTGCACGACCTCCAAATCTCATCATGTCCAAAAGTACAGTAACTGCAAGAATTATTTAAACCAATTGAACAGCCAACCCTCCCCTTTGGAACATTTGTTGGCTAGCTGTATCGGAATCAGTGAGTATAGTCTTAAATAGATAAGAGAATAGTATATATGTAATTGCCCTGAAGAAAATATTACTAGATATAATTTCTCAAATGAAGACGATACTCAAGACAAAGAAAATATATTTTGCAGAGTTGTTGAATACACCTGAAGCTTCATATTTTATAACATGAATACACAGGTATTTTTTTATGGGTTCAAGTGTTTTATTTACCTCATAATGTCTAGTGTATTAATTGTCCACGTACAGCCAACCATGCCATCAGCCGGCACTCATTAATCTATTTTGGCTACAGCAATTTTTTACTTCTATTAACCCTTTTTCTGACAAGATAAACCTCTCACTGTTTGGTTAGAACACAGGGAAAATTCTCACGAAGTGGAATGAGTTTAAAATGGACCTGAGTAATACTAACCTGATTGTCCGATAGATCGTTGTCTGAGTCTACGTCAAGATCATCGTTGTCATTAATCCAGTCTTTTTTCCCGTTCTCCACTACAGCATCATTTTGGGTCTCTTCTATAACAAAATATACCATAATCTAACATTTAACATCAACATTTTAAACAACAGAAAATCATTAACGATTGGACAAATATATCAATGATCAATCAGGGATATGATCAGGGGGGTTGATATTCTACAGAATATTTTTTTATAAAACTTAACCCAAATTAAAAGAACAATGGGTCATGGTTTAAGGACTAAACAAGCTCATAAGTTGGCATCCCTGCTTCCTTTACTTAGTTACCGACAAACTGATAAGTATTTTTTCATTATTTTCTAAATGGCTTAGTGTAATTAGGAATTAATTGTAAATAAAACTCAACATTGTGTTTTTGCACAAGCTCAAAGATTATGTATTCTAGAATACTACCATTTTAAAAGTTATGATTTTTTTTTTAAATCAAGAAACGGTTGGAGTTAAGTTTACAGATTCTAGTACCTAATTATTCAACTAGGGTTATGTACATACATGTAACAAATGTAAAGATAAATAATCTGATATTTTCACAAGTTTGAATAAATCAATCTTGAATATGAGTTACGTTTTGTAGAAAAACATGAGTCTTGTAAGAAATAAATTCCCAAAAACAATAACACATGTAGAGAAGAATGAAAAATGCATTTCAGCTGATCGGCAATGAAGTAAAGAAAGCACAGCTACTTATTAGCTTATTTTGTCTTTAAACAGTGACAATGTGTACTTGTAATTAATTATTTAGGTTGTGTTTGATAAAAAAACCCTGTAGATTATCAAACAGTGGAATCAATCAAAGATCATGTACCTGATCATTGATACTTATAAACATATTTTGAGTATTTTAGTACACATTAATGCTGGGTTTATACAAAGTTAAACTGTGCTACAAGGTGTAGTTAACATTTGAAAGGTTCTTGAATACCAAAAATTGTATTAGCAGATATAGGACCTAACATTTTATTACCTACTTCCAAATAGGAAAATAGCAATTATCATTATACTACTACTAACTTATGTCACTATCGTGGCCAGACTAAAACTTTTACAAACTGGATTACTAGTATTAGAATACAAACTTGTATGTTTAAGCGCAATGACTTTTACCTCTTTGGACCTAATGTCCACAGCAAATGTATTATCTTTGAAATAGTGAAAGTCATATTTATCTTTTGACTTTTGACTTAAAGGCATTTTGGACCTAACACAATGAGTCCCTAGTGAAATGAGGGTTCATCTGTAAAATGGAGCCTTATATGCTGAAATCAAATTTCTCAAAATAGAATCTGTGCACATGGCAATCCTGCGTTGTGTGATGCCTCACACTCAACTGTTTTCCATTTTGAAGGCACATGATACTCTATATTAGTAATGTATAATATAGAGCTAACAGATATAAAAAATGTAAAACTATGGTGTTATAAAACTTTTCATTTGTGCTTAATCTGGGCTAATGACTCTAGGTTAAATACAAACAGTTAATCAATACACTTAATTATCGGTATGCATTAAGTCCACTTCGGACAGTTATAAAAAGCAATAGGTAAAGTACCTCAAAACCACAGAAGTAGATAGTTGTCATTCAACCTATGGTTAAATCTGTTTACTTACCCCTGTCAATGATTTTCATGTGTTTTATGTTGTTGTGTTCGTCTTCGTTGTTTAAGCTCTTCAAACTTTGAGCGACTGATTTTTCCTCATCTGATTCTTCCCCTAAAACATTAATATCTCAAGTTGTATTTTATATTTATATTTTTATATTCATATATATTTTTTTAAATTTATATTTTTTTTATTGAACCATCATTGAGTGGGTAAAATTGTCTAGTACAGGAGACTCTATCCGGCACTGCGCCACTCCGGCACTCAAGTAATCCGGCATATTTTGACGGGTGAGGTCTTCCGCGATTGCAGCAAAATCATGAACATCTCCCACGGCCGTTTAAACATTATCATCGCCTCTCGCGGTCACGGAAACGTCATCGCCATCATGCGCGATCGCAGCAAAATCATGAACATCTCCCACAACCGTTTATACATTATCATCGACTCCAGCGGTCACGGAAACGTCATCGTTGTCTTGCGCGATCACGGCAAAATCCTGACCATATCCCGTGGTCATGTAGACATTATTGTTGTCTTCCGCGACCACGGCAAAAATCTGATCTCCTCCCTCGGGTGTGTAAATATCACCATCCACTCCCCCAATCACGGAAACGTCATCGTCATCACGCGCGATCGCAGCAAAATTATGAACAACTCCTGCGGCCGTGTAAACATTATCATCGTCTCACAGAATTACGGAAACATCATTGTCGTCATGCCCCATCGCGGTAATAGTGGTTTCTCATCGCGTGATCTTCGGAGACATGTTTTAAATGCATTTTATTTGTTTATCCGGCAATTTAGCAATCCTATATCTGCGGATTACTGAGAGTTTACTGTATGTTTATTTTATGTTGAGAAATTATAGCTAACTTTATGAATTGTTCTTTGTTACACTAATTGTAATGTTATTGATTGCTTATCTAATAAACATTGTGATACTAATTATATGGTAAGTTTTAGTTTTTTAGTAAATGCATGTGACATAGCAATACATTAAGGAAGAAGGAATGGATAAACAACTAACATACCTAAGAAAAAAGTTCTACGCAGTTGAAAGTACACAAGTCTACAACACAAATAGTTTGATATTTTCCCCTACAAGGTGTTTCTTCAGAGGGAAGCAGTAGAATGACAATTAGGTTGTCAAATGTTTCTGTGATTTCAATTCAGTGTAAGTTGTCTATCCATTCCTTATTACTTAATCAATAATATGAAAGTGTTGTATCTGGTTAGTAGATGGACACTTAAGTGATTGGGAGCATTGCAACTTTTGCCATAGCCAATGGCATAGATTACAAAAAGAAGATAATCTAAATAAAATGAAATTTGAGAATTTTAGCCTTTTGTGAATTTTGGAGCTTGTTATAATGAATTTGACCATCTACATATTTGTTTCAATCATCAATGTATTACAAAACAGATTAACAACTGAAGTTATTAATGCATTTTACACCCCTATATTATTTTATAGAACCATTTCGGTTAACTTGGGTTTCGGTTTAACCGAATTCGGTTAACAGGGGTTCTACTGTATTAGTAAAACTATTCATATTTTTTATTATAATTTGGAAATATATATTTATAGAAACTAGTGATTTAGAGTTTTTATACAGTTGGGACCATAAGTCTGTGCGCACGGCTCAGACCCCCCACCTACTGGATTTAACGAGTAACATCCACCCCTTTCCTCACGTGCCAAAGTCAGCCGCAAGCACAGACCGTGCTTGCATTGGTTTCACTGTTGTCATTGGTTGGTACTGTTGGGACCATTAGGTCCCAACAGTACCTTCCTGGCAAATTTAACCTAAACAGGATTTCTTTTCAACTGTTTCTTTGGCTAAAGAACATTTACATATTTCAAATATTTCATGTTATGCTCCTGTTGACATCCTTCAGAGAAGATATTCTTTATTCCCCTTCTTTTATCACAACCAATAATCATAAAAGACTACAAAACAATATTTTTTTTCAAACAATAATAAACATACCTTCATCAGACAATGAGCCTTGCCTGGTATTATCAACTCCAGTCAAATCTTCCTCAACGTCATCTTCTTCTTCATCATTTGTTTCATTTTCATTCTCTGTCTCCATAATTGGATTTAGTTCATCATCGTTCTGCAGAAAGAACAAACAATTGTTAAGCAATGCTACATTGCGCAAACTTATACCTTTGTAACCTTGTTGATACCTTTGTAAAAGTGTAAAATAATTAAACTTCACATTTATTCATATAAAGTTGTGGTCTTACCTTTAGCGGTTTGATTGGGTATGATTGGATTTGCAGGTTGGGATTGGAAGGAATTTTCACTCCTCTTAAATTTCAGGAATATTTTGGAAAATCAGTAGATCAGGATCAGAGATTTTAAAACCTAAATATAAAAAACAAAATGTGGTAAGAAAGTAGCCCAATAAGTTTATTTGTAGTTACAAAGAAAAATATAGAGGAACAAACAAATAAATATGATGATGGATATGATTTAATAAGCAGGAAATCATAGTTTAAAATTTGAAGAACGCCACAAGCAACACTAGAAGTATGGGAATAGTAATTGATCTATTCAAGCCAAGCCAAACCGTTGTTTTAAATTCATGAACTCAAAGCCCAATCAAGCCAAAATGTATCAAAATCCTTGAGTTAAAAACTTTTTTTTATTTCTGAACCTTTTTGACCCATTTTGACAACAGTTTATGTATGTTAAGTAACAAAAATCAATATTAATAATGCAAAAAGTCTCATTTACCAAAGAGGCCAACAGCTACAAAATACCTTGGCTTCAGACTATTCCATTAAAGGCATTAACTACTTTCAAGTAGGCTGATAATCACGTTTAAAAATCCATAAGTTATCTTGCTATAAAATAGATACAAATATAAATTGGAAATGACCAATACAAACTACTATTACAGTAAACAAATTCCCGGAATGAATTTCTGAAGACATTTAGTGCGATCGCCAGCGGGAGATTTGCCTTGCAATAGTTAGTACGCCTGGGGAGGGCATATCGGTAGTGGGGTGTATAGCTGACAAGCAGTAGTGCAGCATTTTAATGTTTGCACTTTGTTCATGGAATGCCATTTTATTCTTCAATGCAGGTACACGACCGACAGTAACCGACAAAGTAGACTTGCAGGTACACGAAAATCGCTTACCAATGCTGCATTATGGCTCGTCAGTTATACCCCCACTACCGATATGCCCTCCCCAGGAGTCGTACCAACTACTGCAAGGCAAATCTTCCGCTGACAATCTCGTTAATGTTGAAAAAGAAATCATTTTGGGACCTTTTTGACTGTTGTATGTATATTATAATCAGCAAACGTAGTGCTTGATTTGAGACGCTACAACAATTTGACGATTTATCATGCATATTTTCTTCAATAATAAACAAGAGAATAAGAATAATGGTATGGGATAACCTAGCCAAGGAAAAACAATCTTTGCTCTCCAAAATAGAGTTATTAGGTTTGGATCTCAAGTCCCCAGAAGAAAAAAACTGTTGCCACATGATGCAGTAACTATGTGGTAGGGATGGTCAAGTCTCGAAATTTCGGGAAATTTTCGGGAAATTTTAAATCTCGTTACACGAGACGAGATTTCTTTTTGGCCGAGATTTTTACCAAGACGGGAATAAAAAAAAAAAAAAAAAAAAAAAAAAATTAAAAACGCCTGCAGAAAGTCAATGCAATACCCGCAATACAGGAGCGTGTTGTAGTTGCGTTTCCTTTGTGAAGGCGTTCTTATTTCATTAATTCTTTAAATGTAAATATTACTTTAATTATTTTAATAATATTACTTTAATAACATTTGAGAAGTTTTGTAAAGTGTAAGCAGTGTGAGAAATGTTTTATTACTATAAAAAGTCAAAACAAGTAACTATTTTATAAAAATTAATATTGCTTTTATTTTATGATTTATTTTATTTTAGGATAAGTTGAACTCTATCCTAACTGATATCACTATGTTTCCTAATCGTAGGCATTTTTAATAAGTTAGGCGTGATTAATAAAAAAATGTTATGCTGATGTTTTTTAATAAAAGATTGTAAATATTCTTGCCTATTATCATTATTTTTGGATTTAAACAATCATCTAACAATGTTACAAAATCAGGTAAAAATTTTGAACGTGCATTTCCCGTTGTGTATGAGAAGGGAAATCCCGTCTCGATCTCGTCTCGAAATTTTATGAGAAATAAAAAATCTCGTTTCGTCTCGTCTCGAACTAAAAATCCAATCTCGTCCATCCCTACTATGTGGTCTTTATTGTCAAGCACCATGTTAATGCATTGTAGCAAGAGTGGTCAATGATAAAATACGGCAGACAAAAAAACACAAATAACATCTTGTTTGGAATTGTAAACGTTATTAAATTTACAGAAAGCAAATTAAAATATGTCTGTCATTCGCCTATTGAGTCTGATGTTGAATGCAGTTTTGAATTGAAATCGACTACTTAGCATCTTTTACATGTATTTACCATCTTGGAGTCAACCGTATAGGTGTAAAATGTAAATATACATTTAAAGTGTTATTAGACATATTTTTTATTTAATTTCTGTTAAAAAAACGAAGTCTGATAAAATTATCATTAACACAGCATTCTTACATGCTGGAAGTTGATGAGTGGATCCCATTTGGACCTCATTTTCTCTGTAAGTTGACGAGCACTTTCTTCAGCCTCCTGGTAACTTTCTGACAGCTTGATAGTAGGCCTCAGACTAGTAAGACAATCCCTGAACATGTGATTGATGTTTGTTGGGAATGGATTATCATCCGTCCAAACTGAGTCTGAGTGTTTGAACCAGAAGTAATGCTGAAACAGAAACAGATTAAAATTAGTCACCTGGGAATATTACACATTTTAAAATGAGGCAGAGTTCTATAAGTGAAAAGCCAACAAGTAAATTCAATAATAATCATACCATAAAAACATAATAATAAATCTTACAGTTTTTACGGTTGTAAGTAGTTTTTGTATGGAAAACCCTCGGTTTATGAATGCATTAAGCAGGAGGAAACATATTGTATACCATTGTAATCTGCATAAAATGACAATTACATTGTTGTATCTTGTGGATCTTCAATAAACACACACACTTATAATAAAAAACAACATTTTAGACCGTCGTATGGGAGATATTTGTACTGTTTATAACTGCATAACTGTTTATTTTTCATTTTATGTTATAGTTAAAATAACATTGTCATCATAGTTATAATTGTCTAGTTGTTATTGTGTGTGTAATCTCATGGTATAAAATAGTTTACTATCTTGTATGATACATAGCTTATGTTGAAATATTTATTTAACATTTAACAACCTATTTAATTTATCTTAAAAGTAACATTTATCTTTTAGGAACTACAAATTAAGTATAGCTCATTGTTTTATTATATTAACAGATTTTTATTAGATCTCATAAATTTCAATCATAAAAGCAATTTTAATAGCATTTAATAACACATCAATAAAGAACTATTTAAGTCTAAGTAAATGTACCGTACATATTTATCTTTTGTAATTTTTTTGCTTTTTAATTCAGTTGTGTTCCGGATTCAATAGATCAGTTTTCATTTTCTCTTTTTTACATTACATTTTACAGCAATAGTAAACTGAACACAAAATCTTATTATATCATATCCTTTTAATTTGCAAAAGGTAATGTTAATTTAATAGAAATATTATTTAGTAATTTTTTTTAATAATAAATAAATAAAAATATTACACCTTATATTATTATTTCCCGACATAATTTTGACAAGTCTGAATACAAATTTATAAAAAAAAAAATCGCTAACCACTTTATTTCTTGCCTAACGTGAAGTGTAATTTACCTGAAAGAAAACAAAGAAGTAGTCCAACTTTGTTTTGCTGGGTCCGTGGCTGAAATACTGTCCACAGGTTTCAAGGAGTGTGCAGACTAGGCGAATGCGAAACAATTGATCTGGCGGATCTATTGGTGAAACTCTCTCGTAATCAAAGGAAACCCCAAACGCGATCAAAGAATAAAGGACCTTTCCAACAAAACATTACAGTGTGTTAAATCATATGATTAAAAAATGACATTTAGCCTAAAACATTGCTTATGTTTTCAACGATTAAATAACCTAAAATTATAATAATTTAATTGGTTCAGTTATGAATGAGGCTAGGCTGGTCTAGTGTGGCATCACAATGTAGGAGGCCTGCGATTAAATCCATTTGGTAACTGTGGTTTAAGTTCTTACGAAGCTGCGTGTCCACCTATAAAAAAGGGATAGGTTTTTGTTGTCTCTGTATTTGGGATATCTTGCAAATAAAAAAAATTCAATAATTTTGATTACTGCAATGAAAACAATGAGAGTGATATTACATCATAATTTATACGAGTTACCTTAGTTGTACTTTCTAATCTAAAACTATAGTTACCTTGAAAATGTCATTGCTTTCGACCATTCGATAGTTATACAGTTCACCCAAGTATTTCACCATTGCTACTCGTCGCTGGTTTAGATTTTTGGTATTCACTTCTATTCCTATTCTTATGTCTTCTAGCACCCCATCAACAACATGGGCTGCCACAAACTCCTGTAGAAGAAATACATGGTTGGCTCAATAATGTGGGACTAATACGGTGTTGGATTACCAAAAAATGCCAGTTTTAACCTAAAAACTAAAAAATGTTAGCTTGAAGGTTTACTATGAACTCCTGAAATGTTGAAATAATCAATTTAGGCATTATTTTGAAAACAATTGTTATTGTTACCTAACCTATTTGATTTAGATTACTAACAGCTAACAGCTGTATCTCATAGCCTGAATGTTGTTCACAATAACCTACAATAAAAATTCAATTCTGCCCACCTGCATCACATAGCTAAATGCTAACAAGTCAGGAACTTCAGTTCAGTTAACAAATAACGCGCATAATAAAGCACAGCAATTTACTTATTCCACCTAATAACCCATGTTAATTGTAAGGTCCCCAGAACCAGATTGGAAAGACGTGAGACTCCTGTCTCAACACAAATTAAATACCAGTATATCGGCCACTACAATAACAGTATGGATACAAACTCATTCATTACACCTACGGATTACCGAGCGTGTCATACTATCATGTGTCAGTTTATCGATATTTAACTGTAACATATTAGCAATTACAGTTTCATACATTGAGTCAGGTACTGTGACTTTTTTCAATCCTCAATAACTTAATCTAACGTCCAGTAGTGTGGATCTTCTTTATGTTTGATGAGTTTGGACCACTTCCCTTAAAAGTGTTTATTCAACTTAAAATGCCAATAGCTTAGTAAAAACTCAAAATATTTCTTTTTATTTAGGTGGTACACATAATGCATATAAATAGGATCAATACGATTGTAAAACATAACAATAATAGTACCAATAAATCTGATCCCCGTTGAACCATTATTCAATATAAAAGGCGCTTGTTTGTAAGTGTATCAATGTGTTGGCTTTTTACGTTTGGCAATGGTACATTGATTTCACAACTCACCTGGTATTCAACAAGGCCAGCTAGGAGGTTGGCCAAGTCTTTGATATTGGGATAAGGAACATTCCACGCTTGTGTCAGACATTTTATGGCATAAGCAGATATTTGTGGGTCTCTCCAATTCAGTCTGAAAATTAATGTTCATTATATAGAGCACAAATATATTTTTACAGGGAAAAAAACTTGCCTTGAGAATAAAATTAGGAAGGAGGACCGGATACATAACTAACTTCATTTTCTTCTGAAGAAATCTCCTTGGAGAAAAATATCCAATAATACACTGTAAATAAAAAAAGTTATTTGTATTGTGAACTTTTTGTGTGCTATCAACAGCTTAGAACTAGAGCTAATGGGTAACAGAATCCGAACCCAATATATTGCTGCTTCGGGCCATAGTCCATGGCGCTACCAATTGAGCCACCCTATCACTGAAGGAGAGATCAGCGGCCTTTTTTTTACCTTGAATTTTCCCGTTCAGATGGGTGTCAAAAGTCTGAGTTTGGAATTTGTCAAGCATACAAGAAGTGAATTGTACTCATAAACATAAATATTAAGTGGCAACCACATTGTTTCTGATCTACAGTTGGTTGTTCATATACTTTTGCAACATTTCAGCGGAATATGTCCAATTATTTACCAAGATAGAAAGATACCATTTATTCTTTCAATAGTATAGAATATTTGCTTTAGTTACTGTAGGGGTAAAGGAGCATAAAATTTGGTACATAAGAAATTTAAGGAGAGTTGGCCCCAAGAATTTCTCATCTCCTAACGAAACACAGGCTAGTTTAAACAATTGAAGCTTGACAATATGTCTAAAGCTACCCAGCCACTCACAGAATGATTAATGCCTCACCTTCTCATTGAGTCAAGAACCTTGCTGGATTCAGTGTGTTTTGTCAAATCCTGGTATAAAATATGTCTTATAAACTCGTGCATTACAGGACGTTCTTTTACTTTCGATGCTGGGCTTTCAGGCGGATTCACAAAATAGTAAGCATTCTCTATCATTGTTACATATCTTGAATCCAACGCTTTCCCTGACTTCATCCTCATCATTTGCTCCTGAAAGTTATGAAAATAAAGAGTTTAGAATAGGGGTAGGTCTCACGGCTTGATGAACAGGTGTAACACTCAAGAGTTAATGGACTTCATAACTTAGTGTTATGAACTTAATATTAAAGCTGATGATGCATTCCTTTCCCTGTCCTTTGATGTATTCCTAAGCCGAGTGCATTATCCTCCAAAAATTAATATCATAGAATTTTATCTGATAAAAAAGACAGGGCATTTGCCAGGAATTATTACGGAAATTGACAGGAAAGCAGGCTTACCTTTAAATAAGTCCATAGAGACACATGAAATGCATCACAAAAGTAGAAATTTTTGTAGTCACTGACCACACTGGAGAAATGCCAATGGCAGTTGCAATTTGAATCTATTACACCTTGTCAGGGTTGCCAAGACAGCAAACCTGTTACACCTGACAAGGTGTAATAGATTCAAATTGCAACTGCCATTGCCATTTCTCCAGTGGTTGAAAAAGTGGTCAGTGACCGCAAAAATTTCTACTTTTGTGATGTATTTTATGTGTCTCTACTTACTCATAGCATTTCAATTAATTTCAAAGCTGAATCTCTAATTCAGTGAATTTGACAAAAAAAGCTTGTTGATCATCAACAATCATTTTGGGAGACCATAGAATAAGAAAATAAGATATCATGGATATGGAAATATGTCAAATTACTACATCCAATGTAGCCAAAGGAATGAAGAGGGACATTATTTCATAGGACCAGAAACTACTCAATCATTTGAACATCCAATGGCATAAAAGTAAAAAAAAAAAAACAATTAGTTTTTTCCAAATCTATTCAAATACAGTAAACAACTATTTTATTTTCATTCCTACTATTTGCAATTGCAGTGTATAGATACTCTTTTGAAGACTACAACCATGAAGGGCAAACTGCTGATGAATGTACTAAGTTACATACTTTACTTCTTTAAAAGTAGGAAATAGCCAAGTAGTTAAGATTATTGCAATTTATATTCAGTTTTGAGTATAAATGACAATGATATTTGTTATCACAACTCTCATCAATTCATACTTACCAAGTAGACCTTGGTCCTCTGGTGAGTGTCTGGACTTCTAAAGAAGAATCTACCGCAAGTTTCCAGCATTGTGCATGCCATTTCAATGTGGTGATGAGAGAAATCGTGCAGTAGAATTTTAAGGCAGTAAAGTCCCTCAATTTTGGAGTATAGCTCAAATTTTACCAGTTCTGCGATAAAACGGATCACCTTCAGCTTTGACTCTATGTTTATCTGGTCCTGTATGAAGAAATAAAGTAGTTATACAATACAAGTGTTAGTACAGTTTTGGATAATGTCAAATAAATATTTTTTTATATACATCTTTGCTTGCTATATACAAATACCCAGTTCTATTTAGTTTAATCCCTAAATTAAACTGCTAGTGTAATAGATTTTCCACAGCTGCAGAAAAATAGTCATTTGAACGCAAAACTGTATGATTTATAATTGAGCGTGCTGCCCTTACAAGAATACGTCCTGTTCCTAACTCGTGATTTGAATCGAGGAATATTTCCTAGCTGTGAAGTAAAGTTTATTAATAAAATAATAATAGTTAATTCTCTCTTAACTATTTTTAAGGGTTACTCTTAAACTTGGATTACAGCTATTGAACTTGTCAACTGAGCATCATTTGGTTCTGTACAATGTTCATTTCTAGAGTCCTCATACCCTAATAAGACAACTGACTGGCTTGAGTCTACATTACTATAATGACTTTTAGAGCTTCTTTCTCAAGGGGAAATGCGAAAATTGAAGAGATATTGTTGCAACTAATTTTAAAGAAAACAAAAATTCAAATTATACAGCTAAAGAATCAACATGAAAACTGACCTTCTTCCTCACGTGATATTTGAAATCGTGCTTCAGTAGGAGGCACAGATCCGTGGCAATATCAGGCAACAATGGGTTGAGAATGGCTACCAATCTTGCATAGAACGGAAGCAAATCAAGCCTGGTCCTTGGTACTCCAAACAAAGTCCTGAAACAAAGTTGATAACAAGCTTATGTACAGTATGCTTGACATATCAACCCATCAGCGTGGATTTTTTTAAGCCGTGTTTACACCAGAGTTTGGAACAAAATGTTTGGAACTTTTTGTTAGTAAAATTTTTCTAAATGTTTCTAAAACAATAGTTTACAACAGATGCACTATTCTTTGATTTTGTTGGAAACATTTTAATCACCGTTACCGAGAACACAAGGTTTCTTCTAGAGAGTCACGTGGTGGTGGGTAAGTGCAAGGGGGAGGGGGATAGCAAGGAAGTGTTGTAAACAGCGTAGAAGTACAGAAACATTTGTTCCAAAACACATGTTTCTTTTGTTTGGAACACCCTTTGATCTTTACCGACAACTGGTGGGAAAACAAATTTCTATTATAAACACTGAAAAACTGGTTCCAACATCCAAATTTTTATATTCCAAAAGTTGTGTTTCTTGGTTTTTTAGAAACATTAATTGTAAACACGTGTTCCTAACTCCAGTGTAAACACGGCTTTATAGAAGCACAAGACATTTACAAAATAATATCAAGAACAAAGTTGATAAAAACTTGTGTACAGTATGATTGACACTTTTTTGGTTGTTTCCGTCCGGTGCCGCTAGGACCGTGTTTTTTTTTACAATTTGTTCCTTGAAATTTCAGCTATTAAAAACCTCTTTTATCCAATAAAAAAAATCTAATCATTAACAATAACTCGTCCTAAAATAATAGACAATTTGTTTTCAACACTAGCGCCTAGTGTCACCAACATGAACTAGACATGAATACCAAGCTTGAGATTTTACAATGGAATGAGAAGTATACTTGTGTTGGATAGTCTATGGTTGAGGTTAGGAAGATGTCTGGAGTCTGTAATACCTTCAGAGAGCTGTTGGACTGGTCTTTGTGGGATGGAATTAATTGCTTTGTAAACTAGAAATAGTTCATTCAATATACAACTGAGCAAACTATAGCACCCATTTAAAAAACAAAAATTTTTTGTTGAACGTGAGTTATACAACATGTTTGATTTCAATATTTTATAGACAAATAGTTTGTTATTGCTTACAAGGTTTTACTATGCAGTTGTTTTCCCTATTATGAACTAAGCAGTTTGTTTGTTTGTTGTTTGATATCACATCAACACATGTTATCAAGGCTTTAATTGTGATACAATTAATTAATATAGAAAACAGTATCAAGAATCAATGTATGTTTGTATTGAAACCTCTTAAATTATTACTAAATATTTACTTTTACTTACTTGACCAGTTTCTTGCGATGATGTTTGGTGTTGTGGTACATGAGAAACTCAATCGCAGCATTGTCAATCATTTCCCGATTGACACAATTTGAAAGCAGGTTCAAAAATCCATCCAACAATATTTTATTGTTGGCACTATTGTTATCTGACTCTTCAATCTCTGTAAATAAAACGTAATTAAATGAAATGTTTATTCATCATGTTTACAAAGTTCTGATTTTCACATATACAAATATATGTCTTGTTTATGATAGACCCTTAGGTACTACCTTAGCAAAAATTACCTTAATGCTACATTACTTTCTTTTATAAATCCATACATAAAACCCCTTACTAAATAAATTTATAATATCATCTAGGGAATAAGGGAATAAGAGGATGAGATAGTATTTTAGAGGTTAGATCAAGGCTAAGGCAGACTGGCTTGACCACTGTCTCTAGTCAGTCTGCGTTGAGCGAAAGTTCTAGTACAAAAAGGAAACGGACGAATGAGGAGGAATCGATTGAGGAATTTATGTATAGTGGAGGATCAGGCAAGCATACGTCCATCGAGGGAGCAGCTAGGGAGATTTTGGGCCATTGCGAGAAGCTGTCTGTGCTGAAGAAATTGGCCATCATGGAAAAGTTTAATTATATGTCGACCATGATGAGTCGTTATGCTACTGAAATATTACTTTCCTTTGTGGTTTGGTTGATGGTAGGTCCTCAATTAAGGCAGAATTAAAGAAGCTGACTGGGTCGTTTCCTGTGGGCACTCCGTCCAGCAATGTCAAATCATTTGCTGAAGCAGCGAAGAGCAAACAAGGCACGAGGACTAGTGCTATTGTCATCAGTCCAAGAATTGATGAGCGGGGCAAGCCAGCAATGACGTCCGAGGACACGAGAAAGGCAGTTGCTGCTGCCATGAATCCAAGGGAGGAAAAGATCAAGATTATAAGAATTCGACCTGGCAGGGAAGGCACTGTAATAGTTGAGGCAATGGATAAGAGTAGTGCTATTAAGATTCTCAAAAGTAAGAAGATTACTTCAGCTGGCCTCACGTCACGCAGGCCTCTAGAAGCCGAAGATTCTAATCTACGATGTCCCCAATGAAGATGGCAGTGTTAAGGAAGGAATTCTGGACATCTTCCACCAGAATGTGGCGAACATTGAATTTGATCAGTTCAGACAAGGATTTAACATTGTCAAAAAACTAAGGTCCAGCAGGGAGAGAAGGGAGAATTGGGTTGTGGAGCTTAGTGTTCCCTGTTTTAAGGCCCTGGTAGGCAAGGATAGATTGTTTGTGGGATTTGAGTCAAGCAGAGTTAAGGAATACACGGAGGCAACCCGATGTTACAGGTGCCAGAGTTACGGCCATGTCGCCAAGTACTGTAATGTGACAACCCCAACGTGTGGCTTTTGTGCGGAGGGTCATGAATATGAGGAGTGCCCGAACAAAGAATGGAACCCCACATATGCGCCCTGCAAGAGGGCAAAGCACCCCCATGACCACAGCGTCACAAGCAATACTTGCCCTGCCTACATGAGAGCTCTGGAGGAGAGCCGCAAGAGGACGGAGTATGGATATTGATCCATTGACCCCTGAGCCTGGTCAACCCCTCATGAGACTGACCCTCAGTCCTGAGGCTGTGGAGGAAGCATATCTTATCCCTTGGGCCCCAAAAAAATGTGACTCCCCCCCCCCCCCAACAAATGTGATTGCCCCAGTTGGTTCCTGAGGCCGGGCCTGCTCGTCAAACATCATCGAACCATGCACATGGACAGGCCAATTTCCTTTAAGTGCTGTCAGAGGATTTTCAATGGGCCACATGCGGCTGCGTGCCACACCCCTCGATGTTCTGGAGACGCCCCAATCCAGAAGCAGTTTCCCTGCCCGGGAAGAGGTCAACATGGGGCAGCCTCGAGCTCGGACGAATTGGACATACTAATGAATAATAGGCACATGATTACGGGATCCAGATACACTGCTGGCTTTTCTGGCCTGCTTCCTGGAAAGACCCCAGCCCAAAAAAAAGGAAAAGGTCTGGTTGCTTCTATCCAGGGGAATCTTGGTAAGGAATGAGGGAAGAGACAACGTTCATGAAGAAGAAGATGGCATCGAAGAACTTGATGATCAGCCACAAAGGGCTGACGAAGACAGGGGTTTTTCGAGGCAGGTTTGGATGCTCCAGTGGTTGAAGCTTTGTATGTGGAAATCAACCTTGGTATGGAAGAAGATTTGGCCGCCCTCCAGGAATATTGGGAAGAGGACCCACGTGTCACGTGGCTGAGCAAGAATCTGAACTCGGACCTGGCCAGGGAGCTCCACGCCAGGTGGACAGCTGAGCCGGTGCTGGATTAAGAGTGGCTCAAGTGCTTCATCATGAGGGTCACCAGCTCGGTCAGGAACCATGCTGAGAAGGATAGGGAGTCGAGAGGCACTGGCAGGGTTAGGAAGAAAGGAACCAAATCACGGAAGGGACGTGAATTCACTGAAGTTCAAGAATTATATAAGGCTGACCCAGCTCGCTTGGCCGAACTCATCCGAGCCAACAGGTTGGAGAGGGGGCTACAGCAGCAAGAGGTTGATCCTCCGAGGCACGAATTGGAGTAGGTGTACTCTGAACTCTGGGGTGCCACGCAGAGGGCTCCGCCTGCTGGATTCAACTTTAACGGGGAGATCTTTTCCTTGAGACCGGAAAAGGCTTTGGATGTCAAGAGAAGAATCAAGAAAAGAAACCTAAGGGAGCACCAGGACCGGATGGGATTAGGAAGGAGCACCTGACTAGGTGTCGGGGGTTTGCCCACTTCTTGGCTGGAATTTTTTACGGTGTTCTCTTGGCTGGAAAATATCCCAATGCTTAGACAGAGTATACAACATGATTTTCAAAGAAGGCAAGGACATCGCACTGGCTGGGAGTTGGAGGCCAATAACTATTGGCAATACATTTGCTCGAATTTTTAGTGGAATCCTGGAGGACAGATTAAGAGATAGGGTGGTACTTGACGTGAGGCAGCGTGGTTTTGTGGCTGGTAACGGATGTTTCTCAAACACATGATACCTTGACAAACTAATGTGGAGGGGCAAACGCTCCAGTCTGGCAGCAGCAGTACTGGATGTCTCCAAGGCATTCGACTCTGTCCCCCACTGGGCAATCTCAGAGGCGCTTGTGAGGAGTGGTGCTCCACCTGCTATGATAAAGGCTGTAACTGGAATGTACAGTGGGTCAAAGACCAAATTCAAAAACTGTGGGAATTTTGAAGTAAAGGTCAAGAGAGGAGTCATGCAGGGAAACCCATTGTCACCACTCCCGTACACCAACACCAGATTATTATGACAAGGCATTTGAAGAACTTGCAAAGGATTTCAAAACGAAGAACCTGAAGACCTTGATATGCTCACCTATGGGGTGTATTAGGGATCTAATCCAGCCTGAGCGTTTTGCTAAAAATATAATGCAATTTCAAAACTCGACAAAAGCGTTGCTCCACATTGTATTAAAAGAAGAAAAATCAAACAGGGTGTTAAGAAGAGGACTTTCACACATTGATCTTTTGAAGCATCTTGATGAATTGTTCACGGAGCATTTATAATGCAAGCGCAAGGCTTCATCAAGCATCACAAGAACTCAATCTTGAAGAATCGACTTCCACTGACATTGGCACAAGTTTACATCCTTCTGACATCTGCTCTCCTATTCCATCAGTAACATATCCACAACAACAAAAACATTACAATAGGTCCAACAATAGATTTAACATAGCCATAGAAGTTAAGGAGTCATGTATATGTAACAGTTGTCATAATCCTAACACAGATACTTCCATGCATAACCTAATCAACCCCTGGCCTGTTTGTAAAAATGATATGTGTAACAAAGATGTTGTGCGGTTAATGCATTTAAATATTGAAGGAGGGATAATTAATAATAGAAATTATCTGGAACTAATTTTAGAAAACTAAAACATATCAATTATCTTTTTAAATGAACATTGGCTTAAAAATGATAATATTAGCATTTGAAATAGTTTTACACTCTGGCTCATTTTTATTGCAGGAAAGAAGGAACCCATGGGGGTTCTTGTATATCAAATCAAATCAAATCAAAATTTTCTTTATTCATTATGTACACATAGAGTACAGAATGGCGTCAACAAGTACTATTATAAACTAGTAAGTACAAGTATATATAATACAATAAAAAATTAAAATTATAATCACTGTAAGAAATTAAATTAACTGTTACAGACGACATATGCTTAAAAAAATTCATTAAAACTGTACAAAGGTTTAACAATAATAAATGACTTCAATTTCTTTTTGAAGGACCCAAAATCAGATATACATTTTATGTTGTCTGGTAATGAATTATAAAATTTGATGCCTGAATATGTTGGCTTCTTCTCATAAAATGTTAGCTTATGTCTATTAAAACAAAAATTATTCTTATTTCTAGTTTCATATCTGTGGTTAAAACCTAGCATACAATGACTATTTTGATTTTTTTTAATCCACAGAATCAGATCATAGATTAATTGGCTGTAAACTGTCATTATTCCTAAATTTGAAAAATGTTCTCTGGCTGACTCAAACCACTTAAGTTTCATTATTATTCTTATTGTTTTTTTTTGTAACATAAGTATCATGTTTAAATTTTCATTAGAGGTGTTACCATAAACCGACAAACCAAAAGAGACATGAGAGTGCACAAAAGCAAAATAAACTGCTTTAAGGGTTTTAATATCACAAAATGGTGATAATTTTCTAAGGATGAAAATACCTGTTGACATTTTTTTACAAACTTGAGATACATGAGTGTTCCAGCTAAGAAGTCTATCAACAGTTAAACCAAGGAATTTTGTTTCCTTAACTTCATCAATAAAGGAATCATTAAGACAAACATTCTTTACCACAGACCCACTTTTCCTATTTGAAGCGGAAAAATTAATATATTTAGTTTTTTGTTTATTTAATAAAAGGTTTAAATCAGCTAAATGTTGTTGGATTGCATTAAGTTTTATAAAAGAAGATATTTCTATACCATTTGCATGGTATCCGGATAGTTTTATATTTACATCATCTGCCTATAAAGTGATTTTACTTTGATCACTGAAATTAACTAAGCTATTGATGTAACATAAAAAGAATAAAGGTCCCAATATAGATCCTTGTGGTACACC